GCTATTGAAAGTATGAGCTGATTCAGGTATGGCACTTAGCGAAGTGTGTTGCCCTCTATAAGCTGTGCCGTTGTTCTAGTGTATAAATACGAAGTAGCATTCTGCTGATTCTCAATGATACTGATTAGGCTATTGTACGAATAATTTGCCGTTCTACATAGCTGTGTACGATAAAAAGTTTTTGATACCCAGTCCTTCATGCAACAGGGGACATGGTGAACATGGAAGCCAACCCACTCCGTGTACCTCAAGTAAGGTAAATACTTACCCACCAACGAATGAAGACTCCAATAAAAGGCCAAGTAGGGTATACAGTTCACATTGGATGGACAACAATGATGGCCAATGAAAAGGGCGAAGGCCTCCGCTGGATTTATATTCAAGTATTCCTTGAGGTCTAACAAGAACACCTGCTAATACAAACAATGATGTTCGAAGTACCTGTATCTCAAACTCAGATTGAGTTGGGAGCTGGGACGAGATGGGTTTAGCTTCATGACATGCAATGCATGTCAAGTAAGCTGCAACTCGTTGTTTCAGAAATCAATATCTGACACCACCCTGGTCCAGCCTTATGCGCTGGTGGAACCCATTGTGGCTGTACATTGGAATGATGATCAACGATCAATCATGAAAATGCAACACTGACCGAATACGGGAGTCGCTGCGATTCTCCCATGCCCAGTAATCACACGTTATCCTCCACTTTGGCCTTCACATTAGACTCATTCCGGTTACATCTCCCGGAAAGGCGATAGAGGAGTTTTTCAGCTTCAATTTCTGATCACCACAAGTATGAGGTCGGCGATGGTTGGGCTGATTCGAATCCTGAAAGAAACCGAGGCATAATGCCTGAGCAAGGATTGGATCTTCTGTCCATAGGTCGTATCGAGTAAAAAGCCAAGAACCAAAAGTACATTGTTCGTTAATTTCATATCGTCGGGAACAGTTGATAACCGAAGGACCTTGATAGAAATGAACATAACAGCCCGGGTGCCTCGACGAGACTGGGCTTCTTTCTGTACCACAAAGACATTGCTCTTCTTCTCATTATCAACTTAATCCAATCTCCTTGAAGCATCAAGATGCAAGCCTTAAGACTCGCTTTGGCCGCTTTGGCCCTGACTGATATAAGGGCTGTGTATGGTCAATTTACAACCTTGACCCATATCAGTTCAGCACGCCCAACGACCTTGAGTCACATCAGTTCAGCCACCATTTCAAGCCTCATCAGGGATGACGAGTGTTGGGTGATTGATTGCAAGTGGGCTTGCCCTCCTTACATGACTGGTCCAACATCCGTACCCAGCTGCACCACCAGTTTCGCCCCAGTGCCCAGCCTTATCAGGGACGACCAGTGCATTGCCTATGATTGCGAATGGGCCTGTCCTCCGAGCGTGCCTAGTCCAACAGCACTGCCCGTTTGTGCCAGTTCAAGCACTGCTCCTGGAGACACGACTAGCCTCATCAGGGACGATCAGTGCGTTGAGATTGATTGCAAATGGGCTTGCCCCCCGAGCGTGCCTACTCCCACATCAGCTCCCCCTTGCACCCGCTCAAGTGTTACCACCACAGACTCCAGCATCATCTGGGACGAATGCTACGGGGTGGGTTGCCAGTGGGCTTGCCCATTTGGCTTCCCTATCCCAACAACGCTGCCCCCAACTTGCACAACAACTCGCGCGGGCTGTGCTTAGAAGGAGGGAAGCCACTAAATTGGTGGTGATGACCGCCGGTACTGTCTTCCAGGGGTGCCAGAGCGAATACAAACCTCGGTGCAGAGCCTACTTTAGGTACTGATACTCAGCCTCACGCAATCTTCCCGTCAAAATCATCACCAAACAAGGAAGATGCTCATAATATGGGTTAATTGCAGTTCCTACCAGTTTGTAGCTAAACCGCTCTGGTTCTGGCTAAAGGGTACTGGTGCTGCTACTTCTTATGCTCTTTCATTCGTGCCAACTGTTCTGGCTGTGTCACTGGCCAGAGATATGATATCGTTCTTTACAATGCTTTGAGTTTTGGTTCAAATCGCTCTTTTTTCGATATGTTGGTTGCAATATCTCTCTTTTTCTTTTCATTTTGCTCACAGAGCAGATGTCTGGTTATCTTGAGGGAGCAATTGCAACGGTAATACTCTCTCTTATATGAATAATCTAGTCAATGTAGATAGCATATAAATATACCTGTCTACAAAAATTCCTGCCTCGTCCCAGCTCTTTCGAGTAGTAAAGCTGGCAAATTTCCAAGCAACTGCCTACATAGAATGTGACGCAATCCATAATAGAATGAATTTTTGTGGTGTTTTTAACCATCCGATGGGATCCATACTCGGATAGCATGGTTCAAAGGCGGACAGGCAGCACTGTTGCCAAGATCTTGGCTCATATAGCGCCACATAGTAGAGTGAGATGGTGTATGAACTCCACACGCTCAGCCCCGAAGAGTCCGCGTGGTTGATGACACCGACTTTTATGTTACATTCTCCAGAAGCGAGGCATAAGGAAGGATTTGATTATCCTTGTCGGTGGAGGGTGAAGTGGACGTGCGTGAGGTGGATGTTGGTATTGATGCATCGTTCTTTAAATTTGATCGGAAGCCTTGCCCCATCAGCCTGTGCCGCTTCGCTTAGATTAATTATGAAGTATACGATGTAATTAAAGTGAATATGTGCGTGAGGCATCTGTTGTGCCATGAGAACTTGGCCTTGCTACTGTATCTTTACCCACTAGCTTTGATTTTACACTTCTTAGGGTGATATCGAAGAAGTATTGCTAATTTGATTCGTTTATGAATGAATTACTTCCTTAGAGTACATTTCTTTGCGATCTAGATTGCAAGCAATCAATCATCAAACCCAGACTTGCCAGTCACGCACCCACCTGCCACCCCTCCCTTGCCAAACATAGCTCTCAAATCCTTCACAATATCCTCCGGCCGCTCCCAAGCCGCGAAATGCCCCCCCTTTGAGTATTCACTCTCGTACACCACAGGGCCCAAGGTCTGACTCCAGAGCTTTGGTAACAGAACAGTATCCCCAGCAAACCTTGCAATCCCCAATGGCACATCTACATAACGCTGCGATGCTGCAAACGCCGGCGGGTCACTATGCTCCAAAGCATAATACGCGCGCCCGGAAGCCCCAGCGCCTGCGGACGAGAAATAGTAGATACTAACCCATGTAAGAATCTCGTCGTCAGTCCACGGATAGTTGTCGCTCCAGTCATGCAACTTCTCGTAGAGCCAAGCCAAGAGACCGACCGGGCTGTCAGCCAGGCTGTACGCAATGGTTTGGTCCCTGGTGGATAGTTGCTTGTAGTATCCGTTGCCGTCTGTACCAAACTTGGCTGTACGGCCGAGCCCAGCTATCTCATCATCTGAGAGAGGGGTGGCCTTGACCTTTTCGTAAAGCTTAGGGTGGAACGAGGCAGTGGGCTCAGCAGGGAATGCCGAATTGGTATGGAGGGCTTTGCAATGTGCGCGACCGTACTTGGAAGCTAGAAGACGTGCTACAAGACAGCCTAGATCCCCCGCTTGAATGACTGGGTGTTCTTAGCTCGTTACTGAGAAATGACTTGATTTACAACGTACCGTATTCATCATAGCCCAGGGAAAGCATGAGCTTATGGCATAACTCTGCATGTTGCTCCATGTAAAAGGATTTCTGTTTTGCGGTCAGTTACCTTATCCATACCCACTCGGGGGAAACGCACCTTTTTAGACCCTGATGAAAAACCGAAATCCATTAAGCTTGGAGCTACAACGTGGAACGCAGGAAATGAATCACTTCCCTGGACTAGCAGTGGAAGAATCTTTGTGACTTCAATAAAGCTACCGGGCCAGCCATGAAGAAAAAGCAAGGGGATGGCGTTGGTGACATGGCTACGCTGATGAATGAAATGGATCTGATAGTTTCCAAACCCCTCTATTCCAGCCTCGGTGGAGAATTGAGGAAGCTTGTTCAGACTTGTCTCGACTGCTCTCCAGTTGAATTCAGCGTGCCAGTAACGGACGAGTCGCTTCATCTCTGATAAAGGTACTCCCCGAGACCAAGCGTCATCCGGGGTCAAGTCAGTGACCTCATCTGGGAAGTCTGTCAACTCAAGCTTTTGTTTTAGACGTTGAAGTCTCGCTTCTGGGACGTCGATGGTGAATGTTGTGATTGACGGCATTGTTGATGGCAAAGTAAAGATGTAGTCAAGCAATGGAGTTATTGGTGTTGGAGGAGGGAACAAGGCTTTCTTTCAATTCGAAACTAATATGATTGAAAGAGGTGCGTAAGAGTTGAGAGACATACTGAATGGCATACCGCATTTATACCCGTTCAACCCAGATTTCTTCTCCAGGCAAGCAGCATGTTGTTCTCGATGTCAGCCGAGAGGTCCACCCCATCCTGGTATCGAGTATGGGCCGTTATTGGCTGGGCCGTATTTTGAAACCCTGTCAATCGGCGCCATGCCAGATTCAGGTGAGAGTTGATCTGGCACCCGTTCACCAGAAGGGGGCAACGTGGTTTGTAAACAAGTGTATGAGTGAATAACCAATAGGATCTGGTGGAAGGACATGGGCTCTATACTGAAGATTGCTATATATGTCTACTTGTCTAGGCAAATCTCTAGGGGCACAGACAAATGTATATAGGTATACCTGGAAATATACCCTTTTAAAAATATTATTTGTCCGTGAACTGAGAGCTGGTATGCTATTCAGTCTAATGAGCAATTGGAAATTATTCTCTATGTTAATAGGATTAGAATATTTGATATCTCCAAGTGATACTCCTTGTAAGCGGATGTGATAATGTTAGATGGAGGCTGGCCGGTTGCTGGGCCGTCTGCAACGGCAGCCATCCCGACATCGGCAGCTTTAGCACATAATGACATCAACAGATTGACAGCCCAACGATCAGCAAGGCGTCAATGAATTACCTCCTTCCTGTATCATAATTTCAAGCGGTCTTTCTCAATCTAATTCAACGAACGACGAGGTATTTTCCGATCATGACAGACAAACCAGTAGTGACGCTGCTCCAGCAGCTCATGGAAATCCCCTCAACAAGCGAAGAGGAGAACAAAGTCGGAGTATTTCTCGCCAAGTATCTCCAAGACCTTGGCTACACCGTCGAATTGATACCAATCGCCCCCGACTCCAACAGATGCAATGTATACGCCTACCTAGGCAGCGCCCGCAAGGCGCGGACATGCCTGAGTTCGCACATAGATACGGTGCCGCCGCACATCAATTACCGTCGGGAGGGAGACGTCATCTATGGCCGCGGCGCGTGCGATGATAAAGGCCCGCTCGCGGCGCAGGTCATTGCCCTCGAGGAGCTGCGCGCTGAGGGGGCTGTCAAGGAGGGCGACACGTCTCTGCTATTTGTGGTTGGGGAGGAGAAAGGAGGAGTCGGCATGTTTGCGGCCAATGACATGAATCTCTCCTGGGAGGCAATCATGTTTGGCGAGCCGACGGAGAGCAAGCTCGTTGTTGGCCATAAGGGCCACTTCGTCTTTGAGCTCCACGTCAAGGGTTTCGCTGCGCATTCCGGATACCCTGATAAAGGTAAGAGCGCCATCTCCATTCTCGTGGCGCTCTTGTCGGAGCTAGAGACTCTAGATTTGCCGAGGTCTGAGTTACTGGGACCATCGACGTTTCACTGCGCGAAGATCAATGGCGGAGAGGCATTTAACATCATTGCGGCAGAGGCATCTGCTACATGTGCTGTACGAATTGCTACGGGTCTTGAGGATATTCAAAAGAAGGTTGCGGATGTGATCAGCAAGTATCCAGATGTGTCTATGAAGCAGCTATTTGGATACTCCGAAACTCTTCTGGATTACGACATCGAAGGTTTGTTCACCGTGTGTCTGTTTCTAACCCTTTGCTAATAGCTATTGCCATTTAGGTCTTGACACGATGCCTGTCGCGTATGGAACCGATGTCCCGCGACTAAAGGGGGACCACAAGAGATATCTTTATGGGCCAGGATCTATCCAAGATGCTCACGGGGTAAATGAAAAGGTGACGATCCCAGACTTGGTCGAGGCAGTCGCAGTTTATAAACGACTTGTAAAGACATGCCTGGCAAGGTGATGAAGCTTACGATTTCATCACTTGCTGGCTATGGAATACCTGGAAAGAATCAAGTTGTCCCTCCATGTAGGATGCTGCGCTGTGTAATAAAGAATGATTATGAAGACGTACGCCCATCGGTGAACGAATGAGTGACAACGCGGCACGGGCGTGTAATTCTGCCTTGCTGTTTAAGCCTAGGTGGATTTCGACGACAACGAAAACCATGCTTGCCAGCACTGATAGCTCTAAGCTCTGAGGCGACGAATCTAAACGGCTTTGCAATGCCCGGATGGCGGACCCATATTGCTGAAGCGAATAACGGGTTGCTGAGCCTGCAAGGTCCGTGCCAGGGCAGTATCGACTTCTCCCGAGAGCCCCAATAGCGAGTGCGGCGTGGTAAATGGTGGCTTCTGTCGTGGCGGCTTGGAGAATCAGGGTCTCCCAGATGGGCTGCTCAAAGTAGAGGGATATTTCTGGGGCACAGACTACACGGAAGTAGTCCATATGAAGCCCATCAAGGTTGAGCGAAGGTGAGACATGTTGAGAATTATTATACACCAAAGGTGGCAAGCGAGCGATGTTACGTGAAGTTGCTAGAGGGAGAGGCTTAGGGAAATCACATTTCCACCCAGCGCTGGTGCATTCTGAGCAGGCCGGCTTAGACTCGTCACATTTCTTGTGACGTATCCTGCAACAGAATCAGTCACAGTCCTCTCTCTGCCTGGAGTGCTGGCGAATCGTGGGAGAAGCGAAAGGAGAGGTAAATCAATGGCGAGCGGGGAAGGGTAGACTTTGGTCAACTTACTTGCATGTCAAACAACCCGTCTTCACTTTCCGGCCCCCCCTGGCTGCAATGCGGATTTTCTTGGGGGCTTCTTGATGCCCACCGTTGAATTTCATCGCGACTTAAAAGTGCAAGGATGCTTCATGCCAAGCAGACACCAGGGAGGGGAGTTAAGGTCTGCGGCGTTAAGAGATTTTTTGGATAATGCGCCGGCCCCCACCGTCAGCTGAGCTATTGGCAATAATATGAGCGCTCTGAGCGAGCGCACTCTCAGAGGGACGCGGCCCCCATGGCTCATTCATGGCATCGAAGTTCTGAGCTTCTGACTCGCGACAACCAGCCGTTTGCAGGCCCGACGAACCTCCCCACCAACAAACAAGGCACAGGCTTCGGAGATCGAGGTTCGGCCTTTAATTTATCATTACGAGACTCTTGGCAGTGCCAAATGCAGGGAGAGTTTTAGCCAAGCCTTCCCTTTTCGGCGCGCGCGATAACAGAAACGCGATGTCTCCAATGCCTTGCCGGACAATATGATTTAGGTTGCTGACCTTTCCGTTCATAAGCACGGGAGTTTATGAGCCGTCGCCCACCAAGGCTAAGCGCTCAACGGCGCCTCGTGTTTGAGAATTGTTGATACTCACGGTCCGGTCAGGGGTTTTGCCAATCACGACCCCAGTCCGGGCATCTGCCCCTTTTTTCTTCCAAGGTTGTCCTGAACCTGTGACACTACCCATGGTGAAATGCTTTACTCTGGCAGTTCTCAACGGTTTTGCGCCGAAAAACTATTCGGCTTTGCGAGAAATGAAACGAAATCGTGGGGAAAAGTGAAACCTTGACTGGACGCTTATCTCATAGATTCTCAGATTTCCGACAATTAGGCTACCGGAATGGGCAGGGACGCCGTAGGTGAGGTATCAGATTCTTCTCCAGGGGTGAATGGCAGAAACAGATAAGTAGACTGCTTCCTCTGTTGAGGTATTGGCTTTCTTTTGGTATTGTCAGTGTGTTCAAGTTCTTTGGCCAGGTTAGCCAGTATTGTCATTCTCTTTCTACTTCGTTCGCTTCGTCCATTTCACTCGCTCTCTCGCAGTCTCAGTTCCCAAATATTTCCAATTGTCCTCATCTGAACAGCACAGGATGCTTTCCACCGCAAAAATCGCGCTTGCCGTTGGCCTTTTGGCCGAGGCCGTCCACGGCTATGCCCAAGTCAACATCATGGCACCCATCTTCTACAAGAACATTGATCCCATCGTTTTCCCCGGCAGCTACAGCGAGTCCCATCTCCACACATTCTTTGGTTCTGACGGCGTAACTGCCAACACCAAGACCAGTGCAGAACTCCAATCCGGTTGCACCAACGCCGAGAACCCCAACGACTTGTCCGTCTACTGGGTCCCGACCCTCGTTTACACTAAAGATGGCGGCAGTTCTTATACTCCCGTCCCGCTGTTCCGCTTCAGCGCATACTACAGTCTGGGCGACACACAAGCCGAGGTGCCAATCCCCCAGAACTTGAGGATGCTTGCTGGTGATGCCTCAGCCCAATCCGCGAGCGCCAGCCCTGCAGACGCCAAGGTTGAGTGGTTCTGCGAGGGCGACAGCGTCGCTCTTGATGCCAATGGCTTCCCCAAGAGCACCTGCTCTACTCATCTCCAGACCCTCCTTTACTTCCCCAACTGTGTCGACGAGTCGACCCTCGAGGTCGCCTACAAGAGCCGCTCATACGGCACAACCAACTGGTGCCCCAAGAACATGAAGTCCATGCCCCAGCTTCGCTTCAGCATCAGGTACGACCTGCGCAAGGCCCTCCCCAACGGCTGGAGCGGCACTGCCCCCTTCAAGCTCGCTTGCGGAAACGCGTACTGCTCCCACGGCGATTTCATCAACGGCTGGACTGAAGAGTCTGCCAAGAACATGGTCGCCGCCACCGCTTCCAAGCAAAAATTCATTGCCGTTGAGGGATCCCTTGGCTCTACGAAGCCAAACTGCAAGCCCGCTGATTCTGAGCCCAGCAAGGGCACTTCCGACTACGCTCAGAGCGTGGCGTTGATGGGTAAGCGCTCTGTCGACTCTGCTGGCTGGACATCGCGATCCAGATTTGCCAGATGGTTTTAAAAGGGGACATGGGCCATGTGAATCCCTCGGATTGAGACAAGATTGGTTTGAACATTCAGCGGTGTAGGCTGGTTCCTACGCACCTAGTTCAATATCTTACTAGTTCATTGGCCAATTCTTTAAAGCGTCGAGTAGAAAATAAACCTCAATGACAAGCATCTAAACCACGTTTCGGGATGAGTGAATAAATGAATAATATGTTCGAAGGGCGCTTAAGGTCTCTTATTCAAATCCACCTTGGCAAATGCACAGTTCTTTCACGGTTCACATTATGTTGCAGCATCCGCCTCGCTGAGTGAAGACGCCATGATGGCTACCAAAGATAACTTAGTTAGATTATTTGACGACGTCGGTACAGCCTTGACTAATAATTCTAGCCTCCATTCACGTCCATCGACGGTTGTTGCCCTATAGCTCCATGGTATTCTAGAGAGGGATATAATGGTCCAAACGGTTACAATTTTTCCCATCAGATATGCTCAAAATATATATCTAAGTTAACTAAATACCGTGAGTTACGAGGTAAGTGTTCCGATAGGCGTAATTCGTCCTGTAAAACGTAACCATTTGCTCCAGGTATTTCATCTATCACACAGCATTCCTAAAGTCAGTAAGAGACATACGATTGGTCTGCAACCGATTTCTCTATGCCCCTCAAAAGGTTTAGCAAGACGTTCACACTTCGAAGGCAAATAGAGATATAGAAGGAGGCAATGATGATCCAATTGAACTAGATTCTTGGACTGGCCGGAAGCAATTATTACAAGATTCTCATCATGAACCCCCAGAACAGTTCCTTAATAAGGCACACAAGATTGATTGGCCAGGCTATGGAAGACTCGAGCATAATAGAAACTATAGGTAACAGCAAGAATTACATGGCTCTTTTGTAGAACCAAGAGAGTTGAATAGGCTTGCTTTGCGTGAGAAACGATGCAAATAAACAAGGCGTTTCAAGTAGACATGAACACTGTCCGAAGAAAGACGTCGAAAAACGATCAAACATTTTACAAACTAATCCCTGTTTTCGCACCGCCGTTTAAGATTTCAGACATGTTTGTGTTATTTAGGAAGAGAAATGCTTGTGGGAACCCATCATACTCGTACTTCGTTTAGCCTGCACAGGAGACCTCGCATCCTCGCATCACGCCTCGGGATCTCCGCCATACTCACTAGGCGGAACCTCGGCCATACACTCTCCCATCGCTTGAACGGAGCGAAGCACACCCTCAGTAGTAGATTTGACCCTAAACTAAGAGCCCCTTAATTCTATCATTTGCTTTTCGTTTAGTCTTGATGGATTAACGTATGGCCAAGATTATTGGAAACAAGGTCATCACTCGCATTATTTAGCCAGCATTTAAATTTCAGGGAGTCTCCTTCACACTTCTGATTCTACATCATAGCATACTCACATTCTACTGTCTTTCGTTTTCTGTTCCTTTTTATTCGGAGATGTCTGTCACTCTAGGAAACCCGACGGTTAATTCCCATCTGAATGTCCTTGGACGAGAAGCATCAGACGACTTGGTAGTATTCCGTCTTTACCACTACGACCCAACACTAATAGGCGCTATTGTCTTTGTCCTTCTTTTTCTTGGCACTAGTTTGGTCCACGTGTGGCAGCTGTATCGCTCTCGGTGCTGGTTTGCTATTCCGCTAATCGTGGGCGGCCTATGTAGGATGCCCGCCATACCACAGGCCTTTTAAAGATCAATTGATAGTCTGGCTGACATTGCTCCATTTCCGACCAGTTGAGGTCATTGGATATGCAGGACGTTGCGTGTCGAGTAAAGAGAGTCCAAATTGGACTCTGGGTCCATACATCATCCAGGCAATCCTACTGCTCGTGGCCCCAGCCTTATTTGCAGCAACTATCTACATGGAATTGGGCCGCATTATGATCCTAGTTCGGGGCGAGGATAGAGCCGTGATCAGAAGAACATGGCTTACCAAGGCCTTCGTCGGCGGTGACATACTCTCCTTTTTCTTGCAAGGTGGAGGTTGGTACTCGTGCCCTCCGAATTCCGAGGAGCCTATGTATGAGCTAACTAGAGATTTCCCAAGGTGGTGGATATCAAGCAAGCGGTACACTGGAGGCTCTGAAAATGGGTTCAGACATCATTATTGCCGGATTGTTTGTGCAGCTTCTATTCTTTGGAGTGTTTCTCGTCGTTTCTGTTCTTTTCCATCGCTCAATCGTCCGGATACCTACCAGCCACTCCGCAAACCCCAACGTCCCATGGAAGCGGCACCTGAAAGTTCTCTATCTAACCGGAACGTTGATCATGGTCCGATCCATCTTTCGAGCCGTCGAATATTTGCAGGGATTTAATGGGTATCTGTTACGACATGAAGCATATCTTTATGTCTTCGACGCCGCTCTAATGCTTCTTGTCATGATAATATTCAATTTCATTCATCCCGGAGAGATAATGATGGCATCTGGATATGATCAACCCAAATCTGATGGAGAGATTGAGCTCATTAGTCAGGGCCGTCACGAACGTCTGTACTCCAACGCGTAATTATCAAAGCATGGATTATATTTGCCGGCAGTTTTATTTAGAAGGCTTTGGAGATTATCAAGGGCGTTATCTAGAATGCGAGGTAGATTACGAGTTTGGAGACAATCGTGCATAGATCAGATAGGATTATATCCATAATCAATAGAGAAAAATATCTCAAAGCTAGCTACCTGCCTCCATCATACGGCGACTCCGTTCAGTCCATTGTGTCCAATAATCGCCCAGAACCTCCTCAGCAGCACTTATAATATTCCTCCCCCAGCCATTGAAACACCAAATGTGGTCCAGCGAGTTCAACATAGCGCCAAAAAATGTGAATAACACAAGGGCCGGAGGCTGCCGTTGTTGCAACCGTTCAAAGTACTGCTCAGGCACGCAATGAATAAACACCAAGGGACCGGCCCACTGTCGGTTGTAGCTTGAATCATCTATGTCATCATTCTGTGCACCTTGGAATTGCACCATGAAAATTCTGCATTGCTTTAGAAGCCGCAGCACGAGCTCGTACATGGCAATGTCCTCGCTCTGGCTTTGAGCCCAGACCACCTCGATCCCATCAAAATATTCAGAGGCCCCCATGCCATCAGGGTCCAAGCTATCCCAGTTGTTGATCTTGAATAGCTTCTCTAGGCGGCCGAACCGAATATGCTCGAAAACTGTGCCAAGAACAGTGCCAACGCCGCGAACCATCGGGATCCATTCAGCACCGAGAAGGATAGCCCTGCGGCGTGATATGTCGTTGGCGTCAGGTTCGGGCTTTTTGTTTATGGCGAAGGTGTAGAAGATATTAAGAGTCGTGAACAAGACGAGTGCCTCGCCATTACTTGCATTGGCGGAGTAGAGAGTTTCACTGAAGCCCTGGAGAGCTTTCCCATGATGACGGATAGCAGTGACGATATGGTGCCTCTCGTGCTCTGGATTTGTCTCGGCCAGATGGAGGCTTGTAATGCTGAAGATGGCTTGAAGTAGAAATATATGCTGCAGACCAATTTGGGGACACACCAACCCCCAGAGATGATCGTATTTAGGTGTTTGGTAAATAGTCCGACTGGTAGTTGTGGTCCAATGGTGGAGAAGTGCCAAGTCTTCGAGGCAAAAGGGTGTAGGGCAAAGAGCATAAGCCTCAGGGGAGGTCAGAAATGGCGAAGAGTAAGAAGGCGAGTGAGCTTGTTCAGAATGATGCCCGTCATCTGATAAGGAGGGCGACTGAGATTCTGTGGCTGAGAAGGTGTAGGAGTGTCGATCTCGGCTAGGGTAGACGCAAGGTGTGAGCCGACGGACGCAATTTCCACATGAAGGCTTGCCCTCGTTACACTATCAAGCATCAGCTAGTGAAAGATAGAGATAATGAGCGCCGAGAAGGTGATGCATGCTCGTCACAGAACGAAACACCAGCGCGCTCGTTTGTCGTAGTTACCTTGACTCGGCGTCTTTTGCATTCGAAGCAGCCTAATCTCGACTTGACGTGGACCTTACGTCGGATTGGGGCTGAAGTGTTAGAAGCACCTGCAGGTCTGTCGTCATCCATCGCTTCGTATAGGTACCTCCTAAGCAAAGAAGATCCTTCTGGCTGGTTCGGTTGAGCGAGCGCCACCTCGAGAATGTAAAACGAAATCCGAAGATGACATCCAATGCAGGATGCGAGTTTGCTCTTATTCTGGAACAGCTTCCTCCAGTCACTTACCGGCCAAGCCCCCATTTTAGCTTGAGTTTCGGGTGGGTACGGATTGGGACCAGCTCATTAGTACGAAGTACGAGGCATGTGGGGGAATGTACGAGGTGGTTACGAACTACGAGGCTTGTTTCGAGCCTTGCTGAGAACTAGCTCCATCTCCACCTCGAAGGCCAAAGAGCCTAAGAGGGTGGACCAGCCCACCCCTTTGACGTGGAAGTAGGGGCTTTATGACTCGTTCGGTCGGCAACTGCTATCATTATGCTGGGAGTGGTCTGGTTCCTGACAGGGGAGTTGAATGAGGCTATCAGGGATCTAGGCCAAACCGGCCTTAGAAATTCCAGATCAATTCGTTTAAAACAGCTCGTCGGCCTGTTGCAAAATCATATTCTATTTCGGATACATCAATGTATTTCACCTGATCCAACGACGCCAGGAACAGTAGTACGCATCGACGATGAGCGACACTAGCCCAGCAGATGTGCCCGAGGTCTTCGATTTCAAACTCTACAGATACAATCCTTCCTTGCCCGCAGCGGTTACAGCAGTGATCGTTTTCACCATTCTCACAGTCTTACATGTTTGGCGTTTATACAAGGCTCGAGCGAGATACTTCATTGCTTTTACGCTTGGAGGGGCGTGTAAGTCATCACCATCCTCTTCGATATCCTTTACCCGTCCCCTAACTGACAGATCCTAATAACAGTTCAATCGGTCGGATATGCGGGCAGAATATGGAACCACTACGATGAAACCTCTATTGGAGGCTTCGTCATGCAAGCTATTCTCATCCTCGTCGCGCCAGCGCTCTACGCCGCCTCGATATACATGATCCTTGGCCGTCTCATCCGAACACTAAGAGCGTCTGATCTATCTCTCGTCCCGCCCAAATGGGTCACTCGAATATTTGTTGCGGGAGATGTTGTAGCCTTTTCCCTCCAAGCGGGAGGGGGCGGCGTTCAAGCGGCCGGCACATTGGAACTCTACAACATTGGCGAAAAGATCATCATCACAGGTCTCTTTGTTCAAATCGCCTTCTTTGGCTTCTTCGTCATTACTTCCATCTTGTTTCACCATCGCCTCAACTCCCGGCCCACTGAAATGGCATTGACAGGAAGTGTGCCCTGGAGACGATACTTGTACGTGCTCTATGCGACCAGCCTAATCATTCTAGTTCGAAGCATCTTTAGGGTCGTGGAGTATCTCCAAGGAAATGACGGGTATCTCATCTCACGCGAGGTTTTCCTCTACATTTTTGATACCATTCTCATGGCTGTAGTGATGCTGATATTCCTGCTGTGGTATGTGCAGCATCTGGAGCAACAGAAAGCTCTGGAGCAATTGGAGTTGAGCAGCTCGTAACTGCAATCAGACCCTGAGTCAGTGTAGTCCTTTAACACGGCACATAGATTCAAAATGCACTATCTTACCATCTCCATTAGTTTCATCAGATACTACATTGTCTCATCATCGTTTGTAGATTTCTCAGTTGTATTAGGCACTCAATAAATTACTTTCATGATACGACCGGTCTGAAGAAATTATCAATCACTAGATACTGGTATCCCGGTTAGACTGTCTCTAACAACCCCAGATTCAGTATCGTCGCCCTACTATCGAAAATATAGTGCATTCATTGTCTCGGCCTAGCTAACACTGTCGCCGTGCTTCGCTCTGTGTCCACCCGTCGAAGATAATGATTCAATGCAAAAAGAAAGAAACAGAAGACAAATATTGACAGGCAAAGAATAAGTACAGCGTTGAGTGTGTTTATATCCGGTTGTTCAGTAGATAAAGTTATGACTGGTAGATGCTACCATCCGGGGGAAGCGTCCCATTAGCCAAGAAGGTATCCAACACGGCCCTCGTGTCCCCCAGCAGGAAATGACTCAAGTGCCCAGATCCATTCCTGGTGATGCTTACAGCATTAGGAAGCTGCTGCCTGACACCATCTGCCCACACACTACTACACGAAGGATCATACACGGAGTGCGCTATCAGAACCGGCGGCGCTCGCTGGGTGATGGTTGTATTCAGCAACGCTTGCCCATTAGTAACGTTGGCTGGCCACCCTAAGCACCTGCTCTGATAGTAATATGTTTGAGTGGCTCCGGCAGTCAGCGGAGCAAATGGCTGAACTGCCTGTAGTCTGAGTTCCAGATCTACCGCTGATCTCGCCTGGTGGAGCCAGTCCTGGCAGCCGATGGCAAGATATGAGAATGGCGAACCCTCAATTGACGTGGCGTTCTGTGTCAATGCGAGAGGAGTTGACAGAGCGGTGGCGTTGCCGTTGGACGCTTCCAGCAACGCGGCTCCGAGGCCGGTCCAGTTGGAGGCGTACGATAAATCTACAAATTGCAGATAGCTCTGGACATTGTATCTGATGTCCTCGCCCGTTACGTTCGGCTGGCATGTCCCATTGCAACTTGGGGCGGGGATCGGGGAGGCATCAGCCTTGAGTAGGAGGTCAACGAAAGTCTGCCTAGTGCCGTTGCTGTTGCCGTTCAGAGCACAAGTGTTGTTGGTGTCACACCACTGGAAGAACTGGTTAAGCGTGGCCTCATAAGTTGAAGACTCCGTCAACAAGGCAGAAGGTTCAGATTGTGAATGATCAACCGGCCCATCCAATGCCATTCGACCGACAGTGTTGGGGAACAGAGAGAGATACTGCTGGCCCAACAATGTACCGTAGGACAATCCAAGGAGGTTGAACTTGGTGGCATTTAGCGCGCGTCGAACCAGCTCGTGGTCTTTGGCAACATGAACCGTGTCCAGGTTGTTGAGAAGAGGCCCCGTAAGATTGGCGCAACTCTGCCCGAATTGGCGGTTGTAGTTAACTAGAGCTTGATAGCTCGCGTTATCACTCACGAAGGTACGTATGCGCTGGTTAAAGAGGTTGGGATCGCACTTTATGGGTGTGCTATAGCCCACTCCGCGCGGGTCGAGGCCAATGATGGTGTATACTCTCCTCACAGCATCTGATACTCCAAAGTTGGGCACAAATTGTCCTGCCGCGACAAGGGTGCTAGCACCCACACCTGGCCCGCCTGGGTTGAAAAACAAGGGATTTTGCGTGCCGTTGCCAGTGGAATTAAGCCGTGTCAAGAACAGTGACACGGTTTGATTTCCGTCAGCAGCGGTTGAGTTGCCAGGCTTATATGACAAGGGGACCGCGACAGAGCCACAGTCCACGCCTGGAGGAATGCCAGAGGGGCAGGCGGACCAGCGTATGGTAGGCGCTGTGCCATTGCTGGTCGTATTTTGTGCAAATGCAGTCCAGATATGGAGGGAAAGTGAGTATATCAAGACGCGTGAGAAAAAGCGAAGGTTGAGAATTCCAACCATCTTGATGGGTGGCCGGGGTATAGTTGAGTAACTGGTTCTGTAAACGGATGATCGACCTATAATGCTGTGATTCTGACTTATGCCCGTTACTCGCTGCTGATGACACCGCAGTGGTGATTAGACGTAACTCCCGATTATATTGACACAACGATATGTGGACGAATGATTGAAGCACAAGTGTAAGTCAAGGTAGAGGGGTTTCAAGATCTTGAATACAAATTTCCCCGGATTCCACAGGGCTGTGCCGCTTCCCGTTGAGATCGGCTAGCCGAAGCCACAACATTCAAGTCGGCTAGAAGATGAAACATGGGGCCAATAAGAATCAAGACGCGTTGTCCATGGGCGGATGGTTCGGGCGCTATCGACATCGAGTGACATCACCACCCATCAATTATATTCAATCACCCTGAGTTTATGACATAAAATGTGCATCAGCCAACGCAAGCCGGTGACGTGGACCTCACTAAGCCGTTGCTTCAGTGCCTGTTTTTGGTGCGTTGGGTGCGTTGAAGACTAACGGTATCCGGAGATGAATCAATGACGGTCCAGAACTCCATTCCTTCACTGTGCGTGAAAAGCATCAACCGAAACTTGTACGCCTCAGTCACATGGGATTAGTCCAGAAATTTCGTCTTGACCTAGTTGCAATGGATGTTATTCCACTTCTGCCAGGGATATGAGGAGTCGTGTAAATGCAGACCAGTTCTTCAGCAACCAATTTGGAGTTGAGCAAGGAATTGGAATATCAACGCATGAATAAAGTGAGCTGATTCCGCCGGATTTGGCTAATGACACCTGAAACCAGATACAGATCCATACCCACGCAAGTCAGTGAATTGCTATATGCCCTCACCGACAGTATATCCAAGTCCAGGCCCGGTCCAAAGCTCCACGTAAGCTCCATCAGATTCTGATCCGCCGACGCTGTGCCACGCAAACTTCTCATAAAGAGCCACCCTATTAGCCATTGCAGGGTGTGGGACTTCAGAAAACAAGATATTGGTATAAACTACACAACATTCTCGGTAGTATCATTTCCGACTCACCTCCGACAGCATATCGAGACTTATAAATGCTTACATATTACGAGCTCTTTGGGAAGTTACGCCCGTCTATGCAGCAAGGGGCAACTCGGGTCATTTTTTGGCGCAGGGGTTACTTATACAACTTCCTATCTAATGAGGACCACGTATACAGCAACTATGAAGAACAGCGGCTATTCCCCAGTCAGGATCTCACATTGAAGCTTTAATGGGGCCCATAACTTGTTCGTAGGACCGTCCAAAACCTATCAGAATTCAACCATGTGTAGCCACGGAACCTTCCGCATGGGCTACGGTTCTAAAGATGATTGCATTGGAAATTGTCATTACGAATATTCCCGGAATCTATAGTAGTTCCTACAAGTCTGGTCATATTTGAAACACCAACAAGCATATATTATGAGCCCTCATCCTCTTTCCTCTTCCAATTCTGTCATGCGGCACTTCTAACCAGACACATAAATAAAATTCATTTTCAAGCAACTTCACGACAGCTCACCATTTTATGCACTTCTTCTAAGATGCGCTTCTCAGTTCCCATCTTCGCCGCTCTGGCTACGGCCGCTTCTGCCCAGGTCATTCGAGCCACGACCTATTTGGATGCTAAGTGCGGCCAAATGAACGCCAACACCTATGTTTCCCCCACTTCACAATGTGCCACCTTAACCGTTGGCACCATGGCGGCTGTCAAAATGTCTACCTCTGACGAAGGAGTAACGCTGGAGGGTTACTCGACTACCGGATGCTCGGGATCACCCGCCATCACTATTACCGAGAAGGACACCTGCATCGACCTTGCCAGTCTGGGTATCCTGAGTTGGAAGGGTATTTTCTAACAGAATTGTCGTTGAGAATCCTAAATGGGTCAGATACTAAAGAGGGAATTTATGTGACAGTATACAAGGCTTTGAGCTCTATCTTGTGAGGCCTTCCAGACTTTGCACACATTGTATGAAAAAGACATGGCAATGGCAATTTAAACTATTGTTCTTCTTTGGCTCGACAACGATCTTTTGTACCTGAACCTGGGCGAGTGCAAAGTAAAGCATCCATCATTTCAAACAAAGACTCGCTAGCTACCCATGTAGTCAACCAGAGACGTATGTTACCTTATCTAGATTGAAGATATCCCAGAACTGGAAGTCACTTGAGCTACAAACTCTGAGACCACGAGTCGGTGTCCTCCAGCCTATGAAGATAAGGCTGACCCTGATCAACGTCGGGATACTCTTCCCCGGAACCCTTCGCGGGCACTTCTTCAGGCTCTTTTCATTTTTCCAAGGAGGAACCAAAATTTGGAAATCTTATGACGACGTCCACATTGATTGATCTGCTTCAAAGGGAGGGTATAGAAAAAAAAAAGTCAAAAATTTGGACGAACAGGGAATCGAACCCTGGACCACTCCCAAGCGTTTAGTTCTAAACATGCTAAGGGAGTATTATACCACTAAACCATTCGCCCTAGTCGAGTTTTCTGATTTTGGAAATTTTGCTACTATGTGGGTTGGCTAGCACGCCGGAAATCTATCACCGTCCTCGATGCGATTATTTCGAGATCCTTGACTTACTGCTCAAACCCTTTTGTTAATTACCAATACTGAAACTTGTCGCAGTTAGCTGTAGATGCATCCTCACGACAACTATCTCTTTAGCTGCTGTAAGATAGCCGCATTTTGGGGTATTTCGCAACTTAATCGGGAACGACATCTACTTTCCTTCGATATTGCTTGATGAAGGTCCCCGGTAGCTTTGAAGCGCCATACATCTATACGAGATAGATGATACAAATTAGGAAATAATATTTCATGGTTACAGGGGGAGCGTCACCACACACTTCTATTTTGAAACTGGAAGAGCGGCTGCGCCGTATGGCCATATTAGCTCATCCTGCAGTGCTTCTAGGCGCAGAAATGCCTCTTGTAGCCGAGTAGCATTCAAGCGGCACCCATATGGTTGCTAATAATTTATTACATGCAGTGCATTCTAACAGGAGGGACTTGAGTTACCATGATATCTCACTACCTCAGGAATAGCGCCTCGGCAGATCCTTCAAGATTGTGTTTGAAGGCCAAATAAGCAATTCGTTGCTCAGTATCGGACATAACATTCTGTCCCCTACGCCTGCTACATAGCTCCTAAGCTTACTCGGGTTCGAGAAGGTAGCGCACCACGCTGATATTTGGATTTCAACAGAAACAGGAAGGATGTGCGGTCGCAATGCTTGCACGGACAGGAAGATTAACTGGCTAAAAGCGGCAGAATTCGTTTACAGCTCGAGGTATAAAACTGACAAGCTCGTCCTCGCGAACCAGAATACCAAATTATCACAGCAGTCAACATAGTTGCGAAATTCATTCACTAAGAACCAACGTCATTCTTTTAAAGGAACCAACAAAATACTTTCTTTAATTATGCGGCCATCAATTGCAGCCATATTGGCTATGTGGGTTTGTTCCTCCGAGGCCAACATAGCGGGAGTTGGAGCGCCTGAAACGATCCAACCTGGTTCCGCGGCCGATCTCAAGATCTGGGCTGGCGGTGTAAAGCCAATCTCAATTGACGTCGCCGTCGCTTTCGGGTGGTCTCCCCGCGATTCTGCAGTCGAGGGGACCATTGGAAATCTTCTGCGGTACACTTATATTGGACCCTGTAAGTTCTGAACCTTTATTATTATCCATTGAGGAGCACGTCGAAAATACAACACGAGTATACTCACAATTCAAATACACAGACGAGTCTACTCTAGGCGGTTGGAATATATCAATTCCTGTACGGTTTCCGGTCGATATGCCCAAGGGCGAAGGTGTTATCTCGGCATCCATCTTTAGTTTGCTACATGACCAGCATGTCGCCTATTTAAGAAACTACCAACTGAATGTCACCTTCGGCTCGAAGACGTCTCCTAATTACGTCTTTCAATGAGGTTATGCAGGTTGGGAGAATCTCGCTTGACAGTAGGGGGTGACGACGATAATGCTCCTCATTTGGCCAATAGAGGGGATGAAACATATTATTTTGATCTCATTTACTGCTGTATTATTCAATTCTTCATATCTCAAGTTTTAATCATTTCGATCAGATTAGTATATGCAAATTGAACCTTTCCAGTGCATCTTATTAAAAGGAGAAGCAAATCACCTTGAGTGAGGCGAGTTTGTGCATTGAGAGGCTAGCTCCATCCGAACCCAAATCCACCGTTATACGAGCCAAATAATCGGTAATGTCCTGCCGAAGCTCACACAAATGTGTAAAACACAATTACGCCACAGGATGTGGTGCCAAGACGGGATATTGGCGAATCGCTTGGCTGATCCTGCTACGCCCCTGCCAAGTTGTTGTGGGAGCGGAGCCTATCGCACAGCCACTCGCAACAGAAAGGCTGACCAAACTGCCCGAGATAACGCCCATGAAAGAGCCCAAATGCATTGAGATGAGAACAAAGATGAACATTCTGGTATTTAATGGCACAACATCCCACCTCTTGAGTTCGTACAAGCCGCGCTTATATCCACCAGTCCTTCTCATTCGACCAAATACAGCCTACTACACCAGCCTGAGGGTATTGGACTCATACGAGCAATCATGGAGGTTGAAATCCCCCGCGACTTTCTGATGGACGCGGACGACCAAGTCCAGAGTCCGCTTTTCCGGCTGCCGCTAGAAGTTCGGCGTACCATATACGAACTTGCATTCAGAGAGCAGGCCATTGACGACGGCAACTATGTCAAAGGCATCAATGATGAAAGTTTCATAGTGGATGAGTGTCAAGATCAGCAAGACTCTGTTCACAATGCTCAAGAATTCCGAACGTTACACAATTGGATTCGCCCGGGTTGTACTACTCGGTTGAAATCAGAGACAGCCCTGCTCAGGACCTGCCAATTAGCGTACATGGAAGCGTCTTCGCTCCTCGTATCTACAATGGAACTTAAATGTTATCAAGGCTATGGTCCTCGAGTCAGACCATCCCGATATCTCAAGCGCTTAACCGATGCGCAGCGTTCAGACGTGCATCGTCTCCATTTGTTCACTCAAGTACGAGACTTCGACCGTAATGGTGCTTGGCTTCGACAGCAGCTCGAGCCAGTTGCGAAAAGTCTCCAACACCTCACCATCACTCTACGTGATCTAGGGGGCGCGCCGGGAACCCCCATGCTTCTCAATCCCTACCAATCGGGGGTGGCCAACAGTCAAGCCATGGCCCAGTACATGAAAAAGACGGAGAGGGGCGAAGAATTGAGCATTCCACCAGCCAGCTGGGCCAGCAGCTTCGCGTTTTTTCCAGCTCTGAAAACTCTCACAATGGAGTTAGAAGACGAAGAGGGGAGGAAGATTGAACTGGAATCACTTGCCCAGTGGGCAACAACTTGGAAGTTCCCGCTTGGGGGTAACCAGTTCATGAGCTCAAAGACAGCCCCCTCGAGTCGGGCATGGCGGCGCCCTCGGCCACAATATGATGAAGAACTCTACGGTTCCTATAAACCCCATCCCCGGATAATCACCTGGACAATTCGATGGGACGCGCCGCCTATTAGGACCGTTGCTAATGATGCCGCGAGCCAGGAGGAAACAATGGCAACAGCCACGGAGACTGATGACGAGCCCCTTCTCCAACGTCCAGCCTACGATCCACGCTTAGGGGGGCTTAACTCAATCTTTGCGCATGCAGATGAGTCAAGTCTTCGCCAATTGGCAGAGTGGGGAGTCATATAAGAAAATCCCTTGAGCCTTTGTACAGTATTTATGTTTCGCCTGATCTTCTTTCGCATCCGAGTTCATTCTCAACGGCATGTTTTGGTCTTCGAAGTCTAGATAGTATTGTAAATCCCAAGGGCGGAATACACACACAATATGAAAGACAATACTACGAGCAACTCACAATACACGTCTTATACTTTGATTTATTTTGACAAGCATACCCTTTAGAGGAATCTGACACGTCTTCTTGGAACAGAAGCAGATGTTTTTATGTATAGAAAAAGACAAGGGAATTACCCTAGCCAAGGGGGTATCTTAGTGACATGACCACTACTATAGCGAACCCCACTCATCGTCCTGTGTAAACAACTTGAGGTAATCCGAATATCTTGTTGGAACAATCACGGTTTCTACTCTCGCGGGTTTGACTGGCTCGCGGTCCATCAAGTCTCGGATAATGCCTTCCTTGATCTCGACAACTAGACCTTGGATGACACTCCGGTGGGTGTCCAAAGTCAGGCCGTTCTGTCTCCCCACTCCAGCTTGCAATAGAGACAGGAATTCCTTCGAGCACGCAACCATCTCTATTGCTTTTCCCACAAGGAGATTGACATCCTTGACTCTGTCATGGTCCATGTTCATGGCAGGGAGGACCCTAATTTCTTGGTCCGGATCCTGCATGGGGAAAGGCGGCACCATGAACCAGCCGGAAAGCGAAAGGTTTGCAAGGGAGTAGGTGTTGGCCAAAGGGATGATAATTTCTGACCAAAAGCATCGCTGTAGACCTTGCGAAGGGGGCCCGACGATTGCGCAATCTCCTAGTCCAACATATTCAAGGGTGTGTCCATGAAAGCTGAGAAATTCCAAGAAATGAGATGTCAAGAGTTCAACCTGCGAGAGACAGAGCCTTCGTAGGCGATGCCATGTGTGGTCTCTCGGCAGAATATAAGCTGAATTAGCGTAATAAATCGCGGTCCAAAAAAAAGCGCCATTGATATCGACTTCCAAGACTTCGAGATGGGGGGCTGAGCATAGAAAATTCTTAAGTCGGTTCGTGGACAGAAGTTGGTCGGCCCTCTCCTTCTCATCATCTTCATTTGTGGCCCAGACGCATAGCTTTAGCGTATGAAGACTCTGAATGCCTTTCTTCATGCGAGAGTAGACCTCATCTTCCTCCTTGAAAACTTGGAGAGCGAGAGCATCGACCTGTAAAGTCCTCAGTTGAGACTCAGGGATGGCGCCTAATAACGATGATAATAAGTAAACACCAGGAAGGGCGATTCTGTGCGGAAAGACGCTAAAATTGAAAGCCGGCAAGGTAGCGCAGTGTCTCAAATCACCGTGCCTTTGACTAAGAAATTGGTAAGCCTGGTTGTTGCGGAAATGATCTGGGCGGAAGTGGTCTTCTCGGAAATGCAAATTCTGCAGGTTGGTGAAGCGCCGGCAAGCAATCTGGATGTCTTGTGACATCTCCAAGGTCTCGAAAGCTTCATTTTGGGCCGCTAGAAGTTGACCGTAATGCATCATGCTGTCTTCCCAGTCATCTTCTGAAAGGCCGACATCGTGCGCCGCATGATTCCCATGATTCCCAGAGGTAAACGGCTTTGTCATAGAAAGCTTCAAAGACTTAACAGTCGTATAAGGATAAAAGACGCTCATCAAGCAAACAATTGTAGTCGTATGGCCGCTGAAAACGGGATCTGAGGATATGTCGCGCAGCCGGTTGATGCTCTCGGGCAGCAGTGCAAAAGTCACTCTTGTGCCCAAGGCAGGGAGGCTAACTTCGCCAAAACGCCGGCAGACCAAGCGGAAATTAGATAGATCGGTGTCGCTCGCGAGACGTTTGCATATTTGCAGGAGGAGCTCATTAGGCAGGGATGACAGGGTGGTTGGCATCGTGTCTGAGTAGGACGGGCGATAGTTGTGGGCTTTAGAAGGCAACACAGTTACCGTCAATAGCTCGTAGACAAGAAGCGAGACAGAGGAGAGAGGTTCCTGGTGGCGCGCGTGAGCTGACGGATGGAATAACGAGAGGTGTAAGGATGAGATGGATGGATGATGGGTGAGGGGAAACAGTCCATGCAAACGCCATTACAAAGGTCCCAGGCCGCATAATCAGCGGATTGGTCAGCGCCCACCAAGTGCTTGCTGGTTGCACAGATGTCTCAGGTCAGCATCCAGCTCAGCCCTGATTTCCTTCAATCACGTCAGTGGAATCTATCATCTGTAGGTATTTTTGCCTTGTATGATGGCCTGGCGCTGCACGTCAATGCTGCATAGGCTCCATAAACAGATGACGGAGAGGCCCAGGAGTTGTCCATGGCATTCCAAACCCAGCAAGCAAAGATCTTCACCCATTCACAGTAATACTGGATAATATTGAGACAACAATTCAATCATTTTTTTTCTCCAAGTATCTAGGCTTCGGAGCCGCTCCGGTTAGCAATCTGCTCAGTAGATCTGCTTTTCCCAGCAATATCTCCCACCGAGGGGCCATCTTTCGACGTAAAGCCACTCTGAATAGACTGCAATGGGATTTGTTCCTCATCAGTGACCTCACCATTTTTTACTTCTTCAGGCTTATAGCAAGCGCACTGCGGCAACGTCGCTGCCTCGCCCACCCAAAATGTATCCACTACCCACTTGTATAACCTCCAGAGCGCGCTGACGAAGACGATATCGGCCACGAGAACTGCCATGATTAGGTTAGCGGGGTTCTTGAGCACCCTGACTTTGCATAGATATGTCGTAGAAAGCACAGCCGGCTCAATGGCCAGGTCGACGCTGGGAAACTCCGATGGGTCAAAAGACTTGGTACCAATATCGTGGAGTCCCCAGGTGAATGCTGTGCCAAGGTTCTCGCGGGTAAAAGCGAGACCTTGCGTAAAATCTTTTAGGAGGGATGGCCGGCTTAGTATATTCGGCATGGAGGCGTCATCGCGCCCCAAATCCGCCAGAACTGTAAAATATGTCGCTTTGGAGAGGTTGTTTATTGACTCCCAAAAATCCAAATCGGGGACATCGTCACCTCCAAGCTCAGCCAACATAGTCATATTCTTTCGTGAGTCACAAAATTCGATGAAGGTGCGAGTATCTGGATCTTGCCTCATGTTCAAGAAACAGTCAAGACGCAAGAAGTCTTTGTCCATGATGTCCTGTTCTGTAGCAATCTGCTTCTCTGGTAGCAGATCGACGAAGACAACCCCATTGTACCAGCGATTGCCCCGTTTTTTATTGCTTTCTGCAAACTTCCACATCATATCGGCCCAGTAAGTCCGCATCATAGAGTGGCCCCAATAAAGGTTCGCCTGGTACGACTGGTTACTATAGATAAAGGACCGGTAGTTTCGATAGGACGGGCCAACGGGATCGAAAAGCCCATTTAGCTGGACGTAGGTTCGCCCTTCTTTACTACCGAAATAGCACACAGCTGTCGTAGTCACTGTCCCGCCGACAGGCAACATGGCCATCTGCGATGCTGATCTCGCTTGAATATCAAAATCGGAAACGATGGAGGAGATGTTGCATTGCTGAAGAGGCTGGTTATGGTAGACTAAGGAGCCAAGGTTCTCGATCTGTTCGCCATCTGCAATCTTCCATACGCTCTCGATTGTATAAGGAATTGCCGATTTATTTGTGTATATCTGGGCCTGAAGCGGGATGACGGTATCTTCGCAGCTCGGGTGTGCTCCTACGAGGAACGTTGGCCAATTTGACAGCCAATCCCTCTGAGAGCTTGTTTCATTTGGGTTGACGGATGACCTCGGAGTTAGCTCGTATCCTTGGGCCGCAACGTTGAGGATAGAGAACCCGGCTATGGCAATCACCCCACCGACGACTAATACTGGTGTGAACCACCGATAGGGATAGTGTCGTGTCAAGGAGTACGAGTACAACGACTTGTACATGATGGAAAGAAGCCAAGGTCACAGCAGGTAAAAATGAAAGAAACTGAATGCTCCCCGATTACATTCCTATCCATCAGGCACTGACACTCGGATAGAGAAACGGCAACGACAAGAATAAGAACAAAATGAAATGTACCCGTACTTATACTTTCCAAATACTACTGCAGAAATGTCGACATCTTAATTTCCAAGTATGAAATAGGGGGAGGCACGATAGTGACTGCAGTTGGGATTTTGGGGGCATATCATTGCAGCCCCCAAAGTGAGCCATTGATTCTAAAACATTTATCGCATGCATAATGCTAGTCGATGCATAAATATTAGGGCAATAAAATGTCAGCACGACGAGCATTCCCCATATCTCCTCATTTTTAAGTTGCATCGACCTGTTTACATATGATTTATTAGCATGAGTATTGTGGTCCTTCATTTCCATTTTTCCACGTCTACTGCCTTCCACTCGCCCCTAATTCCAAGGCGGCTGATTTTAGCACCTACATAGAATTAAATATCACAAAGGCTCTCTTATTTTCACTTCTTCTAGCGTTATGAAACCTAAACTAAGAGTTAAGACATTCTAGTTTGGGGGAGGGGGTTCTAAAGGTCAATTTTCTCTCACTCGTTCCGTCGACTTTAGGGTAAGGTAGTAGTACGCAAGGAATATCCATGTGCCCATCACAGGACTGTCCTTGCAACATTGGGTTGGCTATTCAATTTTCTGATAGGACTTATTTAAAGTTTCAATCACACGATAATAACGAATCACATGATGCAGAGAGACAGAGATTGCGAATTAAACTAAAATATGTGTTCAATTGTACACTGCGAAGTAAAAGAGTATCTATTGGGAATCATCTTTGCCGGCAGTCTTGCTATGATCTTTGGTGTGGACCGACGCCAAAGCTTTCAACTCTATTGAATTCTCCTCACTTGAAGACCGTTCACTGACAACCCTCACTTCCTGGGTTTTCATGACACCGCCCATAGAAGATGCCTTTGATCGAAGAACGTCCTGAAGTGCCTCCTGGGACTCCTGCCAACCGGCCGTTGACATGATCATGACAGAATTTCGACCGTATTTCGAAGGAGGACCGTAGCGACTAGGTCTCTTGGATTTCGATCCAGATTCTATCCCGGTGCCGGGTCCCTGAGGGTTCGATTGGGACTGGGATTTATTCCTGAAGTAGCTTCTTTGGCTGGATTTCAACTCCTGGTATAACATTCTCCTGTTCCAAATTAGCGAGTGTGATATAAAGAGAACAGGAAGCCGCAGAAATACGTACAGGACGGGAATGCAAACTGCCATGATTGAGGCCGCGGGCTCCGTGAGGGTCCAAATTGTTAAATCGACACGGTCATAAGTGATGTCTGGACTTGTCATGTTCACGACCAACACGGCCTTGACGATGCCACAAATTCCGGCTCTACGTTGGCGTTAGCGGCGTTCGAACTCGAGTATCAAGATCTGAGGGAATCATACATAGCACCCAAGCTCATTGCGAGAGCGACTCCAAGCTTCTCTCGGAGCCTCATCGTCAGCCCCATTAGAATCTTCCAGGGCAGGAAAGCTAGAACGAAATCCAAGATAGCCGAGTAATCTGTTGAGGCAGGACGTTAGATTGGCCCAGCATAGAGACGACCCTCTGCTTGTAACTTACAGGCGGCAAATAGTTGGTATTTTGTCAGGTTCTGTTTGTTCCAACACGTGCCGGGCACTTTCCCATCCCAAACCTTCTCCGGTGGGCTACATTTCGCGAAGCCAAATATCCAGACCAGGTTCATGGAAATGTTGATCGATACAATAACGAAGATAAGAAAGTATTTCATCCAGTTGTTCGTGGCGATTCGGTATAGCGTCATAGCGAAGGAGGTCTTGCTAGTCGTCGTGGCGATGATCCCGAAAGTCGCAACAAGAATCGTGTTGAGGTTGATTTTTTTCAAATTCTCGTCACTAATCGTCGCCATGTGCTGGCCGAATCCAAGAGTGACGATATAGGAATTGATAGACACTGCAATAGCAAGGGATATCTAAATCGAGAAGCATCCCGTGCGTCAGAGAAGCTGCATGGCATCAACAGGGGGGCGAACAGACTCGATCAACATACCCAGGAAATGATCAGCAGGTGGTCGTCCCACCACAGACCTCTGCTGCGCCATAACTTGCAGTAAACGCGCAGAAATAGCAATATGGCACTCGCAGCGGTCAACGACCAGCAAGAGGCAAGAAGCCTAGTGCCTCGTTCGTCAGCCATTTGGGGAGCTTTGGTGCAGATCCGTTGCGCTGCAAAATCTGGGGCGACGATGATTCAAAAAGGAGAACGTGGAGGGTGGGCAACGACAAGGACGAGCGTATTTCAAGGGCAATCCTGGAAATTTCGATCTTTTGGAACCTCTTACGAGATGCCTTAGCCTCGGAATAGTAAAACTTAAACCATTGGTCAGGGGTCAATGACATAACAAACAAGCGAGATCACCACCAACCAGAGGGGCGCAGGGTATCATCACCTTACCTCAGGCGCAAGGGATCGGCACCGCTACTAGCGATCGTTCGAAAACGCGTGTTGAAGTGGTTGCATGAAGTAGAGTACATACACAGCTTCAAGGCTAGACTTGACTAACACCTGACTCACAAGTACCTGAATTTCCCAAGGGGTTCTTCTCTTTCGATTTCTCAAATAATCGTTGTCATCGCATTGCAGATGGAAATTGCAACGGACCCAAGCATCCACTGCGGTTCTCGCCTACCCGTCTGAATGTTGTGACACATGGCGCGAGGGAGCGGCTCGCGTATACAATTCTGGCTAGGCAGGGCGGGTGAGGGTTCCGAGACTCGTTAGTCTCTTCAGCTGCCTCGACGGTGCCCCAAAACACGAGGACCCTAATGGGGCAGCAGCCAGCTTAGGCTCGATCTTGGCCGGTCAAGCCGGGAAATGATTAATTCTCTTCTACCGAGATTTAAGCTTTCGATATTAATCAACCCTCGGTAGGTAAGGGTAATAGAATAGGCGGCCGCCTTGTTGGGATGACATAGGTAGAATCATGGCATATATGGGTCAAAAGCCCTCTATATGCTCTGCTTTGAAAACAATTCGACAAGCTAGTTTACGCGAGTGACCGTGGACAGGAAAGTTTCGTTGGTAGCGATAAAAGCAGTGAAGAATAATCAAGAGGTTTCATCCGTCTGCCAAGCATATTTGTCTCCTTTTATTTAATTTTGAAGGCGGACGCAATGTCAAGATGACAGAAAGTACTACAATATATAAGAACAAATAAGACCAGAGAAGCTGCTCATGCCAGAGCATATGTACACATCTTTACCTACCAGATCTGGCAACGTGGCCCGGGAAAACTCTGGATGTGATTCATGGTGGTGTGATGATAACCGCATGAATGACCTTCTCGTCTATGGATTTGGGACTAGCATTGCAATAGAAGCACCGGGGTCTCTGTCAAACAGCACCTACTTTCAGCTTCGCTGGGTCGCCTTGGAAATGCGGGTTTAGCCTGCATGAGAAATGGAAAGTGCTCAACAGTGACATGCAAAACTGGAGCATCTAGCCCATCAAGACATAGCCTGGGGGGTTCCAGTCTACGCTAACGTGACGTTGGGCTAAACATCCGGCCTCAGTGCCGGAAGAATGCCGCTTAGAGATACTGATGGGTACATTCCGCATAACGGTGGCGGTATGAGGCAACCGAAATGACGGCTCAGGCGAGATGAACACCCGAGGAAGCTTCTGCTTCATGGCTAATTCCAGGGAACGTATTCAGCACAAAGTGTCCAACTTCGTCAGGCACAAAGGAATGTGCTCGCTCCTAATGACCCGAGGCACCGGGACTACACCTCGTTTCAGTGTAGTCGATCGACAATCCGGAAGTCTCCAGGACTTTAAAGTGTTTAGCGTGGTGTGGCATGATACATATGGTAGGGATCAACAAAACAGGAGAGGCTTGCGATGACCATCCCAACCCTCGGAGGGACGATTGGCTAATTGCACGGAAATTTGCAGTCGTGGGTACGAGGGAATTACCTGGAGTATTCGTAATACGGGCTGGCCACTTTTACCAAGTACCAACAGATTTAAAACAGCTTGGCCGATCAGCAAAAAGGCCGGTTCTGCAACCCGTCCCTCCTTTGCATTAGCTTGCCTCGAGAAGCAACGTGTTCGTGTTGGAAAGAGTTCAAGATGCCTTCCCACGTGCTAAGCATTCTGCTGTTCGCTGTTTCCGGCCTGGCCTTGTGTGAGCCTTCAGGGCACCATTCGGGGCCTGGTCACCATGACACACACCCGGCTACCCCTTCGGCACACCTCTCAAACGGAACCTATCTCGGGGTGCATAGTAGCGAGTATGACCAGGACTACTTCCTCGGTATCCCATACGCCCAGCCTCCCATCGGCTCTCGCCGCTTTGCGCCACCCCAAGCTCTTACAGAGTCCTTCGATGAGCCTCGATCAGCCACTGAGTATGGGCTGATGTGTATTGGGTACGGATCCGACACCGCCAACCTAGGGAATCCCATCTCTGAGGACTGCTTGACCCTCAATGTTGTGCGTCCGGCAGGTGTTAAGGCAGGCGATGACCTTCCAGTTGGCATCTGGGTACATGGTGGTGTGAGTGTCTTGTTGACCCTTTATTACATGACTTCGTGTTGCTAATTTTTGTTTGCGGGCAGAGCTATGTGATGGGCGGCTCGCGCGATCCTCGATACAACCTGAGCTATATCGTTGAACAATCCGTATCAGAGGACAAGCCGATAATTGCTGTGTCAATCAACTATCGTCTCTCATATTGGGGCTTCCTGTTTGGCAAGGAAATGAACCAGGCCGGAGCTGGCAACATTGCTTTCAAGGATCAACGCATGGCACTGCAATGGGTTCAAGACAACATCGCCGAATTTGGTGGCAATCCTAAGAAGGTCACAGTCTGGGGAGAGTCTGCTGGTGCCCGTTCCCTGGGAATGCAGCTCGTTGCATATAATGGGAATAGTGGCGGTTTATTCCACAGTGCTATTCTTGAGAGCGGTAGCCCCGTCGCCCAGTTTGGTACTGCCGACGCCTGGCAACCATATTTCGATGCTCTTGTCCAGAAGACTGGATGCGATGCGGTCTCTGATAGACTGGAATGCCTACGAGGGCTTCCGTGGCAAACTCTTAATGACGTGTTCAACAAGACCACGCCACTTAACGTCACATCGCCTACTCTCACTGCTGTCGTTGATGGTGACTTCATCACGGCCCAAGGATCCAAGCTCTTGAAGGAGGGCAAGTTCGCCCATGTCCCGCTTCTCCTCGGAAACAATTTCGATGAGGGTACGGCATACGCCAAGCAAGGTATCAACACGGATGCTCAATTCGAAGCCTGGCTCGCAACGTTTGGTTTGAACCAGGATCAGATCTCAAAACTCAAGGAGCTATACCCTGATGACCCATCTCTGGGTATCCCAGCTTCTTTCGTTGGTCGGCCTACAGACTCGTTTGGTAGCCAGTGGAAACGTGTGGCAGCCTTTGCAGGAGACTATCAGCAACACAGTGGTAGAAGACTTCTGGCTGAGTCGTACGCCAGTGCCAACCTTCCCGTATACTCTTACCTGTGGAATGTGTACGTTAACGGACTTGGAGCAATCTATGGCGCAACTCATTTCCAGGAGGTTGCATTTGTCTTCAACAACATCTACGGACGTGGCTATGCCACCAATCCATTCGAGGGCAAACCGATAACATACATCCAGCTGGCAGATCTGATGAGCAGAATGTGGGTATCTTTTATCCATGATAATGATCCCAACGTGCAAAGTCATCACCGTCACAGGGGTCTCGCTTGGCCAAAATACACGGCTGATCAGCCTGACAATCTCGTCTTCGACACCAATAGTCTTGGTTTACGGTACGTCGCAAAGGATGACTACCGAAAGACTGAGATCTCTTACCTCTTAAATTCTGTTTTCGAGTAACTTCATATTCTTTCGACGGGTATCAGGAGGAAAGAGGACTGCGGTTGGTCTCTATTAATACAAAATTTTAATATCCCAGCGTGGTGACTACTTAATAAACCATTGGGTCAGGCTTGGTGTGACTTGTAATTAACCACACGTTGAGCTGGGCTTTTTTTATATTATACATAGATGATTAGATTATGAATACAGAGGTCAATGAAATCTCAACGCTTTCAGTCAGTGTGTTTTGGCGATTTGTCAAGGCCATTTTACTCTAGTCTCACTTCTGAAATCCCCTACATTCGCAAGTTTCCCAGGGCCCGGGCACCCAGACAGACATTTAGCCAGTCTGAATGTTTCACTCTTGAGACCAAAGAGCTAGAAGAGGAACAATATGCAGAATTGTCTTCCGGCGACCGTAACCCGTGTCAACATAGTGGAAGATGTGGCGACTAACAGAGGTCCAAAAATACCGACAAGCTGGGCTGAATATTATCTCATTCAGGCTATCAAAGTACGAGACCTTCTATCAAGGCACATTCCTAGCAGTCTATTGTTTCTTGTGTCGCACGCATTACTTAGCTCAATAGCTCAAACCCTGTCTGCAATGAGCCTCTGGGTGGCTCCAGCTCTTTGACCGCGGTTCCGATCGCAGTACGGAGTGGCATGACTTAGAAGGGCGCAAACGGACAAGTTATACCGAGAAAAACGTATTGTCATGGTGGAGGAAGGCTTTCGGTTTTCCCACAGCTGGCACCCAGTTCTTCTCTCACACTCTTCACTGTAGCTTCAATGTTGTAAAACGTCCAGGTGGCCCTTCCATTGAGCAATCTTATAGATTCGGACCAGGAAAACCGTTAAGAAGCTCTCGAATGTTAATAAACCTTCTGTCAGGGTGTTTCAGTTCGGGTCCGAATGTTGTAGCTATAAGTGCATATAGTTAACCGCAGCTAAATGATTCAAGCTATAATCAATCCTCCAAAGGAAAGGGGGTATTACACCTACATTGATGTCATTACCGCATTTATTTGACATACTGATTTATTCCGTTCCAATCGTACGTATTGTTATTGTCTTCGGACCAATCGGTTGGTCCGCTTCTAATTAGAAGCAGCGGGCTGGCATTCCATCGCAGGAGGGGATCGGACACACAATTGCAAATGTTTGCAGAGCAAGATTCAGTTATTGTTCTCACCAATAAGCCGTCAATATCAAAGGAGGCTTCAATTGCCGAAGGTTGGCAGTAGAAGTGCCGGATTAAGATAGTCTAGTATAAAGAATGGAAATCACTGGACTTTTCCCCTTCTCAAACTGGTAGTTCCAGCCCCTATCTTCCATTTCGAACCTAGTTCAGAGTCTTTTTACATGCTTGAATGACCAGCATTCCAGGACCGGCGGACACGGTCTTTTCGTCCTCCCCGCCCGTGTTTGCTTATGAATTGGACAGGCTGCTAGACAGCTGTCAGTGCAAATTTCCTCACCACATCAATTTCGCAGACCGTCCCTCACGTCCCGGTGGCCAATTCTAGGCCTCCGTCATGGGACCTCGTCTACTGCAGTGACGATGCTCGAATGGTATCCTCCGCCAGGCTCTGACGGGCATCTGCTCTTAAAAATAAACATCGCCTTCATTGCTGTTTCTACCGTCATTGTAGCGACGCGCCTAATAATAAGAGGGTTCGTCATTCGCAGTCTCGGGATCGATGACCTAGTCTCTACCATCGCGCTTGTAAGTAGATTGCGATATGTCCTGGACGCCAGCTTGATCACTTATTAACAGCATAAGTCCTTTCTAGTCACTTTCTCGGCAATGGAAATCCAAGGTTGGAATCTCCTTTCCTGACACATTTGGGCAGCCTCTAACCTTCTCAGCCGTCTTCAATGGATCAGGAACACGATTGGACGAGGTCCCACCAGACAAGCTTGTCAAGTTCTTCAATGTCAGCCAGTCTCTCTTCACTTTCCGCAGTCATACAAGACTAAAAGACAGCAGATGCTCCCAATAGAGAGATTACTCTACTTCTGGGCGATCGGGTTTGTGCGGCTCTCCGTGGTTGCCTTCTATCCTCGCCTTAAATGCAACGACAGTTGGTTCCCTTCCCAGAGATTAATCCAGCTAGGTCCTCTGACATGATTATGTTTAGGATGGTTCACTTGGAGTATCTACATCATCGTCTTCGTTATTGTTGCCAGCACGATTATCCCCTTCTTCTGGTTCCTGGCCAACTGTAAGCACATCCCGTAAGTCACCCTTGATTTATTCCGCTTCCTAGACTATGTATACTACGACCGTTGAAACTGAGCCCTAATTCATGTCGCTGGATAGTGATGAGTGGGATCATTCGGCCCCGAACAGAGAATGCCGCGGTATATGGCCACAACTATGGATGTTGAATGGAATCTGTGTCGTAGGAATCGCCCTCGACCTCTGTCTACTCGCCGTCCCGATCGTGGTGATTTGGAAATCGATGAAGTTTTCCAATAAGCTACCTCAAGTGCTCCTGGTGTTCTCCGTCGGCATTTTTGCAATGATTACTTCGGTGGTCCGCTTGGTTATCATGTGTACTACCGACTACACAACAAATGTGTAAGTGCGAAAGACCTTTCTTGGAGCAGATATAGTTTTTTTATGTCAAAGAAGACAGATACTGATGTATCATACGTTACCTTAGGACCTACAAGATGATCACCATTGGTCTCTGGACAAGTCTTGAAGGTCACGTTGGGCTCTGGACCGCCTGTTTTCCGGCTCTTCAGCCTCTTCTCCGAGATATTGGCCGTTTCTGGTTCGGCTTACTAGGTACAGGCGGGTCACTCAAGAAAGGTACTGGGATGTCAAACCTCATCGAGAACTCTGAGGTGAACAGTCGCAATATTTCAGTTGTGTAATAGAGAAAAGATTCCTCGGAGCTAGGCTTTTCAGTTTCCAATACTCTGACCTTCACACTAGATTGAAGTAAGCAGAGTTTATGCCTCTGGGTCCCCCGTCGGTCTCGTTCAAAAATACGACATCTATCTCTCGGATGAGCACACCAGTCTTTTCTCCCTTTGACAATCACGACCTAAACAGACCACTCAGAGATTCCATCGGCCACAAAACAAGATTGTCGGTACTTTGACCTCCACCCCATCCCACACACACGAGAATACTTGAAGACCCGCCTCAAAAACTAAAGGGAAGTGGGTGGGCGGGAGATCTCATGGGCGGGAGATCTCATGGGAATCCAAACAATAACATCAATCTGAAAGACCCAAAACTAAAAAGACTATCATAGGTTATATTGGAATCAACTACCATAACTTCATAGGGAAAAAGCCGTTGCTACCATTTTAAGTAGTAATAACAAAATTGCCCAGATTAGAAGCACCTCAATACATAGTATTGGAGGTACTTCATCAATGTTTCGATGTCGGCTTTCACAGGACCGTCAGACAACCATGCTGAAGCAGATATCTAACTACGCATCACCGAACTTGAATACATCATTCGTGAAAATCAAACATTTACACACTTTCAATTAAAAACATAATCATGCCATCGCATTAATTTTGGGCCTTCATTATTATCGCTGTGTTCTCGCTATGTCTACATGCAGTTTCAAAGCTCAAGCCGAAAAACAATGCCATTCTAGAGTACAGGCCCCATTATGAGTTCCCAAATTACTGCATGGGCCAGTTTCCAAGCTCGCACTGGTACTTGGCAGTGCCGGTAGGTCCCTTGGACTGGTCACCGTCCCACCAAGAGGCCTTGTAGTCAAGGTGGACTTGCTCATCACGGGCAACACCAGCCTTGAGGAAGACCTCATCCTGCTTGCAGAAGGGCAGGGGCTTGTTGGAGTCGCAGTCCGTGGCGACAAAAATCGCCTTACCGCCAGCCGTGCCGGACTTGGTCTTGTACGCTCGGGTGACGCACATGTCGCCATCGACACGGTTGGCGCACCACTTGTTGATGATGTTCTTGTGGATATCAGCCTTGGCGCTTCGGCCGCAAGAACTAGAGATATGTCTGTTAGCTAATCACGTCTACCATGAATGAAGGTGAGGAAACTTACGTCACCATGTAAGGGACAAAGGTCCAGTAGCCGCAGTTGTCCTTCAAGTCGGTGGGCTTGCTGTGGGAGATGCCGTTGGCAGTAGATTTGGAGTCCGAGAAGGAGAATGAAGCACCAAGGCTAAAGGCACTGTGGCTAATACCAAAGTTGAAGCTGGTGGTCTCGGTGATAGTTACGGACTGAGTGACGGAAAGGGAGCAGTCGCTGCCGGCTCGGCAGCTGGCATTGTCGAAGGGCTGTTCCTTTCCGAAGGTCCAAGACAGGCTCTGCTCGCAGTAGGACTCGCACTTGATAGGCTGTTAGCAAACAGAGGAAGGGAATAATCATGAAAGTAGGTGGTGCTCACATTATTGCCGATCTTGATAGGACAGTACCAGTCTCCCTGCTCACCCTGCTTGAGCTCGTTCTTCTTAGGGCAGCTCTCGTCCTTCTTGTGCTCCTCGACGTTCTCCGGGCTGAAGCAGTTGTCATTGATCCATGGCGATTCAGGCTGGTCCACACGGCTCTCAAGCTCTCCGTTAAGGCGGGCGACCTCACGATCCATCATGGCAGGGTCGATATCAGCTACCGGCACAGCCGCTACCAGCGCGGTGGGCAGAAGCAAGAGCCCTTCGAGGATGAATGAGTAACGCATGGTGCAGGTGTAGTTAAAGAATGACTAAGGCGTAGCTGAAGAATAAGACCGAGTTGCTCGAGACAAGAACAAAAGTCCAGAAACGGCTTTCAAGCTCTTATACTGCTGGACGATGTTGCCGGGAACAGGCACCAGTTTAGAAGTTCGTTCTCGGGCCAATGCCACTGTGCCAGTGCAGCCATATTGCAGGGTTCGCTCCCATCGATCGGCACTGACAAGGCACGGCATATGCGCACGGTAGTTCATACCCTGTCCGCGAGCAGGAGCACGAGACCATAATTTGTCTAGCTTGACTCTATATTTATCCTCCTGGTAAAATCGTCCGCCCAGCTGCCCTTATCATTCCTCACTAGTGGAGCTTGCCCCATGACGGCAAATGTAAGGAGGCAAGTAGGTGAAATTAAACATGGCACATCGAGATAGTTCAGCACTGAATTTCAACACAACAATACAATAAATAACCCAGGATGGAGTATAATATCAAGCTAAATATTATAGAATATTTAATTCCTTCTCTTATTTTTCTCTTATTATTATGTTTAGTTAAAAAACGAGGTCCCTGTCTCATACGGAAAGAGCTTTGGTGTGCCATGTTTTATTTCACCCACTTGGGAGGTTAACCAACATGGGTTGAGTTTGTTGGCTTGGCAAAGGCTGACGAGGTTTCAGGACCGCTGGGTCGGCCTAATCCGAGAATGTAAGGCGAGCAAAAGGGGTTCCTCTCTTTGGAAGTTCAGATCCCAGAAGAAAGATGGGGCATGCATGGACCCAAGCTAGAAAATTCCAAAAGATTTCCATTAGTCTTCAAGGTCTCTGCGGCAGAAACATCAGATGCTTGTTGTAAGTGGCGAAAAGACGAAGCAGGCAAGGGCCGTAGCCCTTTTTTTACTACTGCAGCAACAGTCAGAAATTCCCTCTTGGTTTGATGAGTCTCCTCCTAAGAATAGCGGTCGGGCCATGATGCTCATATCACCAAATGGATCCTAAGCAGCTCCTCATGATGGAATATATCAATCTCAACAAATCAATTTCTGTGGTTGATAATTCATGACCTAGCGCCTGAGAATGTCTATTGAAGTCGACGACCTCTAAATGCAGCTAAACTCTCACACTTTGTGAGTGTCCTCTTCTCAAAAATCAAGAAACAATTTCACGGGCAAGCGTCCCAAAAAAAGCGTCATACCTAGAAATCTGCCGGCTCAAATTGGAGAAAGATGGGGTTGAGCTACGAACTGCCAGGGCACGTGTGGCTGGTCGTGCAAGGACGCTGTTAGAGATGAATGTTTTTGGAAGGTCGTCAGCTTAGAAAAGAGGAGAGGCAACAAACAGATTAATACTGTGGAATCAGCCCACAAGAGATACGTAAAATGGCAGTACTTGAGTTTCATAATTAATCAATACTGCTTCTATCTATCTATTCAAGAATTCAGTTGACTTGAGGGAGCATTCACTACTTAAAGAAAATGTCTACCCTTTCAACAGAGAAAGAGGTCTTAAGACACTCTTCCCAACCTCGTCATTGCAGCCTAGATTCCCCATAGAGGCGCCGAAGCGGGTCTCTGTCCTTGTGTGATCAAGGCTGGTGTTTGGCTGTTCGTGTGTAAGCGGGAAGTGACGTGGAAGTACAGGGATCTGAGGAAATTAAAGTTGCCCGCGAAAGGTTGAAACACGATCCTACGGAACCCTCCGACAATCAGCATCATGTGTTTAGTAGGTCGAGCTTCCTCAGGCATCTAGACTTATTCTTCTAAAACAATCTTCAGTTAATATATTCAAGTAGTTCTATAAAATTGATGTGTCTTGTGTCCCCAGAAACGCACTTTCTCGTACTCGTCTCTGCTTCCAACTACTATGTCAGAATCCTCAAGTACAGAGATTCGAGTCCAAGGCTATTTGATTGCTGTCCCTGCATTATCCAATAAGCCGTCACTAGGAACGTATTCACGAGGCAAGGAAGTGGAGAACCATGGCCCTCGCCACTATGCAATACAACACTGTAGGGTATAGGACCATACCCAATGCACACCTAGACAATGCCTGAGAAAATGGTGTCGATGGGCTCATACCATAGCACCATTTTGATACTAGGTACTATGTGGTTCAAATGTGCTCTAATTAGATGTTTTTGCCGGCACTCGTTAGAAGATACGAGTATTGAGAGAACGGTGCAAAATATGCGTATGTTTTAGCAGTAATATTTTCTCTCCAGCAAGAATAAAAACCCAACGGGACTCTGCAAGAAGAATGAATGCTAACTGTTTCTCCTACAAGCTTACTTTTAATGCAAATGATCATTGTGTGGTGGATGCACGCCAATGATGCAGACATTCCTTTCACTCGCTACGAAGGGCCTAAATTAAAGTGCGATGTCTTAGCCATGAAAATGGAAAATAGTTATCATACGACACTTTGCCGCCGTCTTTCAAGCAGATCTTAGGTCAATACACATGGAATCTCAGAAGGCACGTGGTCAATACGAACAAGCCGCTAAACGGAGTCAGGCGTTGTGGATGTTGAAAATTAAAACCGTCTTGCTAGCAAATCACAAAAGAATGCCGTCCTGTTCCCAACAAAATCGGCATACCAAGTGCACCAAAGCTTCCAAACGAGGTCCCCTTTGCCGTGCCCATAGCATTTTCGCCCTAGTAGCGAGACCTGGTTCTGATTGAGTCCCCTTCTTCTCAAGGTTACCAAGCCATACTGAACTTGAAGTCAAGAAGTTAGAGGGTACTTACGCTGGTGCCGAGGAGCAGATCTTCCGTCGGCAATAGCATCAAAAAGCTCTGCCTCATTGCTCTCCATTGGAGCCGATACTCGGACGTGGCCCTTGCTACCTTGGATGTAGTAGCTAGTTCTGCTTTCATTTCTATCTCGAGTAACTTCCACCTCAGTATCAGGGGGGACGACCACAGCCGTGTCGCGTGGCTCCCGATGGGCCACTCTGTAATCTTCCCGCTCGCCTCTTCTCTCTGGTCTGTCGACTCGATCTGGCTCGGACGCTTCGCGACGCGGAAGGTCCTCCTTATGTACAGTCCGTTGACCAGTAATGGCATGGAACCAACTTCGATGTGGCTGCTTTCGACGCGGCGGTTCGTCAACTGGGCCACTCTCAATCATGCGGTTGTAGGCACCATTGTCACCGATGAGTCGTTGATGTTCATTGTGCTCGTGCCCTTTTGGCTGGTGAACTGCCATACTAAGCTGGGCTAGCCGAGCAGCATGAGAACTGTTCGGTGGGGAGACGGCCGAGAAGGAGGCGCGATTCTGATTATTGGCGCTGGAGTAGTAGACACCATCGCCACGCTGCTCTTCCTGATCGAAGGGTGAGGCACGTCTAGGCATCGCGAAATGTACGAGTGAATATTGATGGGGAGAGGGATGATTCTGATGTTAATGCTGTGGCTCTGTTAGGTCATCTTGGGGCGGAATAATCCACTCCTCAATGAGCAAGGAAACCTGGGAGTCTCTGACATTTACAGTGTCTCTTTTTGGTTATCTCGACTACGTATCAGGCCATATGAGTCTAAAGACATACGGCTAGCGTCATGAAGAACAGCGGGCACGTAAATCCTCGCTTGCGTGGAATTGCATTTTGGGTGGCGCCTGACGGGAAATAGCTCAATGATTGTGCAAATGGAAGCCAATGATCTATCAACACGTAGATTTAGTTGCATTTCCTGTCACATTTTTAAATCTCACGGCTTAAGCGAGCTCTAGATATACACTACGGATCATGTATCAGTACTTTCGAGCGATCGTTTGTGCCCACCTCTGTCCTCGTCATCGATTTAGAAGGCCTTGACAGAGCAAGGAGGGTGGCCAAAAGGATACTTACAGCTAATGCTGTCCAGAGGCCCCTCCGTGAGGTCCAAGACATCTCTTACTGGAACGTCTTCACGGAGTGATCCTCTATTGTCTATCCTCGTCTTCTGAAAACCACAAAGTTACCTGAATTCACTTTTCTCCCACATATAACTCATCCATAAACTCACAATGGGCCTTCGTGACTGGTTCAGAAGATTTGTGAGCAAAGTCAAAGAGGTTTTCGGGATATACGACAAATATACAGACTTCACCGCAACGGCTTACTTCTCTGACGGTGCCCAAATGACATTCACCGGAAGGCCATGGGGCAACGAATTCGATCTCTTCAAATACAACGCCGACACTTATGCATATGAGGTATCAATGAATATGTCGGGAAGTTTTTGGAGATTTACCTAGACAGAACAGATGAAGGGAAATGGAGGGTAGAGGGGGATACGATCATTTGAATCAGCTCAAATGGAAATTCGTATAATCACGAGAGATCAATTGGGCCACACAGGGTGGTTGGATAGGGATGAGAGAGTTCGAGTACAAAGTAAAAAACAGCAATTTGAAGATGCAAGAACCGATATCTCAAGACAATGAATATGTAATTCGGTCAAATAAAATCACCACAATTTCAATTCCTTCATCATCTTTACTCAAAAGCATCTGAAGCTTGGATGAGACTCCATACTTGCTATGGGGAGAAAATGTTATTCAAATACCCTTACTTCTACCATACTAACGTAGACTATATCATATTTAAAACCTAAGGCCAAGTACATGAAAACCTCCCAGCCCACAGGTTTTTGAGAGACGAGCTTCTTTGTATGCTGCGATACACACCAAGTTTAGAACGCAAGTAGAGAGGGTCATCGTAACAGATCCTGATATTGCTGCATTAGACAACGCCAAGCGTACGAGACTGTTACAGAACTCACATCGATATGATGCAATTCGTTCAGCGATATCCAAAGCTCTGTTTGTCATTGGGCTCCCGTCTGGGCCAGAGTACCTGAGACTGGCTCGGGAGTTCTGGACTTGGAACGTGACCGGCTGGCGAGGAGCAACATGGCCGACGGCTGAGGAATTGTTCTTATAAGCAACAATTCCACCGCTGCCTTGGCTTACAGTATCCCACTGAGGCATGCTGCTAGATTCGGGTTGATAGGAGAAGTTAAGCAAGTGGCAGAATGAAACTAAAGTGTAAAGGGTAGATAGATGGAAATGTCGGAGCTGGGAAATACTAGAAGTATATCTATTAGGCTGGGTTTAACTCGCACGCGGGGAACTTACCCCGTACCCCATGAATGTGTTGGCACGTCTTGCCAGCTCAGGATGATGACACGGCTAGATCAGCCCACCGGAAGTACGAAGAGTTGCACTTTACGAAATCTTGTGACCTCTTGTCAGCTCACCGCGATTTTCCAACATGGCTAATACTTTCTTTTTCCAGATGAACCAGGCTTATGACGTGTCTATCAACACTATTGTTTCTCCAAGGCCCAGAAGAATTGCAGATGCGGACTGATCGGCATCAGCCCCATGGACGCCTCATACCTTAGCTCTCCCACATCGCACAATTGTGCGCAGTTTCGACACACTTGTATCGATACATCCTCTGATCGGACCTTAATTACTAGTCTGGGCTCGTCTATTGTCTCATTTATCCCGTTAGAACATGCCAGCTCATCTTTCCTAGTTCAGATGTTGACGTGGGTTACATACTCATTGGTCATCCACCCTCCACCATCCAACAGGGAGATAAGGCGTGGGCTTGTGTTTGGTTCGGAGAACTTGAACCAGCCGTCTCATTGCATTAAACATGACTATGAGATGGATCACACTCCTGTATAGCGCTTATGGTGCGGGGACATCGCTCGGATTATCATTTTTGATCATTGATATCACTTTTATATTCCCTCATTCCCACCTACCAGCTGTATTGCACACTTACTAGACAGAATATGATATGTAGCAAACATCATTTCCTCTTTTCCTCTCTTCCATTCGTTGTTCCTTATCTTTACGTACGTAAGCGTATCCCGTACCGGAAAGTCTGGTGCATGTGCATAAAGCGGCATTTCCCGATGACCCAATGAGGCCAACATAGTCCAGGCAGCAACTCCCATTACCCTCCCTCTCTCACTTCCCTTCCTTCGTGAAAGCCCTAATATGTTAAGTCATGGCGATTATTAATGAAGATGCTCGATACTAATACACTTGCTATAGCGAAGTTCACGATACTGATTTGAATGGGGCGGGAGATATGCTCTTCCTAGATGCCTATCCTGTTACGCCCGAAATGCTCCAACTTCTTTTGCAAAAAAGTCATTGTGTCCTCACTCGAGAGAGGAGAAATATGTGTTGAGGGGAGATATAGACCTGTTTTTAACCCTAGCTCTATCGTCTTGCGAGTACCTGAAGAGCCCCTGGAGAAGGTTCCCTGTCCACCTTTGTCCATTCTTCTCCTATTCAGTTTCAATCTTCAAATTCCATAGTGAAGTTTATTCAGGGGCGACGGCTTCTGTTCCAGCCCCCTTCCACCAACGCCAGATAGCTTTACACCAGAACCAGGTCTCAACTGTGCCAAAAATAGAGATGATCCCCAGGACAAGAATTTTCATGTTTTTGCTAAGGCCAAGACTATTAAGGTTGAAGCTCGGCATCTCAACGTCACCATTGTTGTTATTTCTGCCGTCAGCTTGCTGTCGTCTGTCGTTTTGGCCGTTGAGGCGCGCGGCGTAGGTAGAGAATAGCCGGTGTTGGATTGGTGTGCGCTTGGTGATGATTCTGCTGGGGTTGTGTAGCGTGGCGCGGGTGAGGGGAATGAGATTACGGTTCATCTTGGAGTTTGTATTGCCTCGTCAGACAGACGTACCAATTAATGAAAGGAGTGGTGAGCGGGAGGATGTTAGATCGAATGCCGTGGGAATAAGCACCACTAGGATGAAAATTTTGATGAGGTAAGGTGAGACGAAGAGCCTGAGGCACGTAAGGAATGAAGTCCAAAGATCCAATCTAACCGATGAGATTGATCGACAATTTGAGGCTGAGCAGAAGAACCCTGAATGGTTGACTCCAGTTCCATTCAAGACAAGCAGCCTTAGCCCAGCAATACTCAAAACTGACCGAAGATATCTTCTCGTTCCATATTCTTTTCCAGGTTACGGTAGGTCTGAAACGGTGTCATATTAGGAAGTTCATCTTTACCGCGTAAAAAGATCGTCTCTTCACTGTACACCCCTGCCTTCAGCAAAGGCTCGTGCTTATGCACAGCGAGGGCTCAAGTGGCCCGCTTAAATAGACGAGCCTTGCAGATGGCTACGTCTTAAATGGCAATACGCTACTGTTTTAGGAATGGAAGTGTGTCTAATTTATGTCAACGTGGCAGGGCTACGTTGCCAAAAACACACGAAGCTCGTCGATGATTACCGGCATGTACGGAGTCAAATCCCAGCCTTCAGGTGCCGCTTAGAGTGATTTTTCCCAATATCGCCCTCTGAACAGTCAGAAGAAGCGCTGCTGATCCGCTTATATCGTTTCAACCCGGGGATCTAGGGAGCAAGTCGACATAAACGCCAGCCTTGGCAGGGCAAATACATGGGTATGGGCCAGCTACAGGATTTTATATGCCCGATCGCCGGTAGTTGACGCAAGGTAATCATTCCCAAATATGTCACTCCTCTATATCCGTAGGGTTCGCGCTTAAAACCCATGTTTTCATCTAGTATATAGTAACAAAGCAGTAAGCAAGTAATGAGTTCATTTGCTTGATTGGGAGTAGCTTCCCTGCACTATGCGAAACTACAATTTGGGTAAAAGTTGCGACTATGAGAAGATACATCTCCAAGGTTCATCTTAACCAGAATGCTTGATCCAGTAGGCCTGTGGGTTACACCACCCCTTGAGTCCAAGTTCACCCCATTCCATCCCAAGGCCGCTTTCCTTATGACCCCCAAATGGGACATTAGGTGCAAGTTCAAAGGCGGTATTAACCCAGATGCTGCCCGCCTCGAGCTGCTCGGCCATACGTTTTGCCCGCGACACATCCTTGCTCCAAACCGATCCCCCAAGACCGAACCTGGTGGCATTAGCACGAGCAATCACGTCCTCTTCGTCTTTCCATTTGAGAACAGGAGCAATAGGTCCGAAAGGCTCCTCAGTGACAATCCTGGAGTCCTCGGGAGGGTTATCAATGATTGTGGCAGGGATGTAGAAGCCCTTGCCCTCCCCGTTGTTCGGTTCTAGCACGCCACCTAGTGCGGTCTTCCAATTATCCTTCTCAATATGAGAGTAGAACTTCTGCAGCTTCTCATACTGCATGCGGTTTTGGATAGGGCCAAAGAAAGCCTGGGGCTCAGTATGGTCACCCTTGGGAAACTTCTTGGTGGCTTCTACGAGAGCTGCAAGGAACTTGTCATATATGTTCTCGTGGACATAAATTCGCTTAACATTCATGCAGATCTGTCCCACATGAACAAACGTGAGAAATGCGATCTATATTAAAACCAATTAGCCTCCCTAGTGGCGGGATAAGGGAAAGAAGGGAACAAACCTTGGGGACCACAGCATCAATGTCTACATCGTCGCAGATGATGGCAGCATCGTTGCCGCCCAGCTCCAGGGTGACACGCTTCAACGTAGATGCACATGCCGCCATAATCCTCTTTCCCGTCTCTACGGATCCAGTAAAGCCAATCTTGGCAATGTCTGGGTGGGCAGTGAAGTGTGGCCCAAGACTCTCGTCTCCGCTAAGCGCCTGAAGGACTCCGGGCGGAAGAATCCTAGCACCGAGTTCGGCAATTTTAAGAGCGGAATAAGGACTGAAAGGGGACGGCTTCCAGATGAAGGCGTTCCCGGCGAGGAGAGCTGGAAATAGCTTTCCGACGCCGATGGCAAGAGGAAAGTTCCATGGAATAATGCCTGCAACGACGCCAAGAGGGACATATCGCACGATAGCAGTTCGCTTGGGCATATCAACATCAGTATGGCACGCATTAATGTTAGTGAGGTGAGTGCTGACTTACGTCTTCGTCGTCGATTGGCTTCTCCTCTTTGAGACGCATCTTGGGAGTTTCACGTGCCAGACCCATGGTCAGGTCGAATTCGAAGCCGGCAGCCTGAGGCGGCTTGCCGAGCTCTTTGCCGAGAAGCTCGATGATCTGAGACTTGTTTGCCTCGATAGCGTCTGCGAATTTGTTCAGATATTGGGCACGCTCATCAAATGACAGCTTGCTCCAGGTAGAATAGGCAGCTTTGGCAACATCCACGGCACGATCAAGGTCCTCTTTGGTCGAAACGGGGACTTCCCAGAGAGGTTCCTCGTTCGAGGGGCAAATAGCGTGGCGTGTAGCAGATGTTGAAGTCAATTCATTGTTGATGACATTGTGGTATTTCTACCGCATATCCAAACACGTTAGCCGAAGCTCTCCGCAAATGATTGCAGCACTTACCTCAAAATCAAGTACGTAGTTTGCCATGGTTGAGAACTAGAACTTGGATCAAGATTGTAGGTGGTGAAGCTTGGACAAGAGGAGTAACAAGTAAGAAGGAGAAACCGGGACAAGTTAGTTGATATAAGAATGAAATATTTCCACTTGATTCGAAGGCTCTGGTTTGTGAACGGCTGTAGTTCAAGGGAAGATGAGGGACCTTCTGCCCTTTTTAAACAGCTATTCATCGGGAGGGGTAAGTGGTACAGCATGCACTCCTTTGGATCTATACGAAAGATGCAGATCGTAGTGCGAATTCCCTAGACCACCGTGCGTACCAATTAGTTTCAGAGCTCATCCATGCATAGAGGCTTGCATGGAGTAACCTCACGGACCAACTGCCATGTCCTTTATGCCGGCACCAGCGCCCAAATAGGTCTGCTGACCACCCACTTAGAGGAATTGCATCCTTGCAACTTTTTACGCCAGCGTAGCATCTTCACATCGTAAGGGCATGAAATTGCACATGCAAGTCATTCATTCGGTCGACAAGGTTCAAGACCGTTGTTTGCCTTGGCCCTTGGAGAGGCATTCCAGGGCTAACAGCCAAGACTGATCTGCTGTTGCAAGGGTAGACTATAAGTGGGCTGGCAACTGGTTCAGCCTTGCAGTCGATTTTGTATAGACCATGTCCATGGCTAGGTAGCATTGGGGTGGGCTCGGCTGTCATCATTACCTCAATGTAGGTAGTTAATCCCACCCAGGCTATGTCATTCAAAGGTGAGGACAATGGCCGCCCAGCAATCCCAAGTTTTCTCTAAAAGTCACCTATGAAAATAGATATTACTCAATTTTTCAGGCAGAAGTTTCCATTTTACTTCATCCAACGGACGCCGTGGTCACCCTGAGATCGGCGAATCCCCGTTATACAGAGCTCTTTTAAAGGAACAATGATACATAGCCCGTATTCTGCAGGCAATAGCATAGATTAAAACTGCACGCTAAAAAGACACGGTAGAGCTCCTCACAAGTCTGTGGCAGCAGTAAATTTCATTCAATACTATACAACACCTCTCGAAAACCGATCGAGGGACAAAAGGCGCCAGCACCCTTATCTATAACCATCCATTTAACAATCTGAACAACCTTTCCACCAAGTTTCATCATGCTCTTCAATTCATCTCTCATGTCAATAAAGGAAACCTTCAACTGCCGCTAACGCATATTTCATCAATGCAAATGCTCCGTCTATCAGGTTTTCTATGCTTCCTAGACCAGTCACTTCCTTTTGGCTTTCGACTTTGCCTTTGACTTGGGAGCAGTCGTAGACTTGGGCTTAGATTTCGGAGCAGCCTTGGTCTTCCTGGCTTTCCCTGGGGGCTGACTCTGTTCCTCAGTCTCTTCTCTAGCTGCAGCCGCCGCCTCCTCTTCCTTCTTCACCTTTAAAGTGGCCACTCGCTTGCTCCTCCGGGGAGCTTCGACCGGAGCTGTAGCCTTTCTCTTTCTCGACCGAGGCGCATCCTCGCTCTGAAGCACAGGTTGCGGTTCTGCCGAAGTGGGAGAAGCAACAATGACAATGTCGTTTTCCACAGCGCGGCTTTCCGTGAAAATGTCCACTTGAACCGCCTGGTCCCGAGTGGTACGTTCTATAATTGGGTTATGAGGGGCGAGAGAGTTGCCTTCTACCGACGACACTTGTGACTCTTGAATGTCTCCGGCTGTCAAAGGATTCGATTGGGCAGCCTTTCCAGCCTGGTCGGTAGTCGCCGGAGTCTGGCCAGAAACTGCCGGACTCTGCTCGGTATCTGCGGAAGCCTGATCAGTAACTACGTTAGTCTGATCAGTAGGTGCAGGAGTTTGTTCGGTAGTTGTGAGAGTCTGCTCCGTAACTGTAGGAGCCTGATCAATGACTACGATAATCTGATCCGTAATCACCAGGGCCTGGTCGGTAGCTGTAGTAGCCTGGTCTCGAGCTTTGCATTCTTTGCAGTCCTTTCTGCCCTTCAACTCGGCGCGTACAAGGGGAATCTGGTCCCGGGCCCATACAGCCAGCCTCTCATAACAGAACACCTTTCTGGCAGCGATACACCAGGGCCAGTCAGTTTCGTATGGGCTGTAGGTGAGCTCCCAACACTTCTCAGCCAGATCTCGCTCGCGCTGCTCATTGGCCTCATAGTTTTCGTCGAGTAACCGGATCTCGTCATCGACCCCAGCTTTCGCTTCTCCGTCCACGGCCTCTTTGAGCCTCTTAAGCAGCACTTCCTTCTGCTGTTGAAGGCTCCTGCGTACACCATCGATTGGCAAGACTGGTGTCCGCACCGAGGCTTTAAACATCATCGACTCGACGTCTTTGAGCGTTGTACCCTCAGGCACATGCCCGTTAGAGCGCAAGTTCTCCAAGAAGTCCTCACCATTGAGTCTATGGTCAACCATCTCCTGAGTAGCCCACCCCAGATGCAGATATATGAAGCAGAGATATTCCTGCCACGTCACCAGCTCGTCTTGGTTTTTCAGACGAAGCTCGAGCGCAGCCGGTGGCGGGATGCCACACTCCTTCAGGATGCTCAAAACGGTTTTCTCGTACTTTTGAAACTCCACAAATGACTTCTCTTTATACCATTTCAAAGTCGGAGCTCCCAAGGCATCCCCGCTTGTTCCCACCCTGTATGTTGGATAGGCTGGGCCATCGTGGTTACGGTTGACACGTTGCCATATTCGAAATCTGGCCCAGTGGTCGTGCTGTTTTGTGAACACCTTGGCATCAGCGTACTTGTCCTTCCATAGCGCGGCCTCATAATGCATCCAAGGTGATGTGATATGATACTTGAGCTCCGGGTTTTTGGCGACCTCGTCCAAGTCATCGATATCATAACACGGTCGGCCGCCCTCTTTCAGAAGTTTCTTATGATGCCACCTCTCCCAGTTCTTTTCTTCTTCGGATAGTTCCACTGGGCCCTTGAATTCCTTCGTTTGTTTGTGATGATGGATACGATCGAGCCCAACTATGTCGGAGTCGCGAATCACCTGCTCCATAGAGTTGTTGAAGACATCACCGTTGAACTCTGTTATGCGCTCTGCGGCTTCTCTGATTTGGTCAGCATCGTGGCACAGGGACTAATACGAAGAACTAGATCACTTACCGAAACCTCTGAGCGATGTGCTGTTGGTGATCGGTGGTCAGATCTTCCGACCATGCTTCGGAAGTGGTCACGGTACACTTCCCAATCTGCTTGACATGGTCCAGGGCGAAAAGGACAAACTCGTCGTCGCTCATAGCCGCGATGGCGGCCAGCCTCTCCTTGGTCGCTAGAGGTTTTCGTGGGGGTTCCATTTTAACTTTTCGTTGTTTATGACAAGCGATGTTTACGACAAGCGGTGGTGATCTCAATGAGAGGTGAGGAATTTATATGAGTAGGTTGGAGACATCGTAGTCATCACAATGAGTTAGACAAACAAACTATGAACAAAGCGCTCAGTTGATTTGTTCTGTATTACAAAAAGAAAGGCTTCAAGATGTTCCCAAAGGCAAGATGAACACACGAAGGGGTTAGCGTTGCCCAATGCATTGTCATCTATCTATTAGCTATTATTCTCAAACAGAGATTTTTCCCAGGAAGGAGTAAGCAAATAGCATTCAACAATGCGACTCAGACTAGAAACCGGGTAGCGAGCTGGTGCAAGCCAAAAACAACTTGGCTGTTCATAGTGTATATCACAAATAATGGTTGAGTATACAGCAACTGTCAATCATAGCGACACGAGGAATGGCCCACATTCAGGTCGATCATCGTCGGAGATTTCATTTGGGATCTCAATTGCGGGCACTCCAGCTGATCGGTTCTCGCTCGGGTCAGGTCGGAGGTAGCAAGTACCGTCACAATTATCCGGTTTGGACATGCTGCAGGCCAGTAGCATTGATCTTATTGTCCCAAGGAGAAGGGTCGCGCTGCGCCCCATTTCGATAACTACCCTCCAATCAGGCCAGTACGAGACAAATCCAAGCAGCAGGGGCTTCGGCTTGGAGTCAGCTTCGTCACCGCCTGGACTAGCAGACACCGCTCTGCACGTAGGTACAAGCCCAATGCCATGGTAACACGGGCAGGCTTCAGCCCTACCTCTACCCGGTCAGCCACCGGAAAGAGGACAAATGCAGGCAGGAGTGCGAAGAACTGGGTGTGATCACCGACGGTGTTCGAGGCGGAGCTAGTGAGCTCGCGTGCGCAGAGGATTGGGAGCGGCCGACTCCATTCCCCAGCCAAGTAGTGCAGAGATGAGTAGATTGAATTGCATATGAGTCAAACGGCCAAGATTGTTACACACAAAGGTAAGCGGATTGTGCACCTGGGAACAGCGAGCTCCCGCCAAGAAGACCTTGTTGGTGATAGGCCATGGCTGAAGGAGGGGAAGCAGAATACGATATCAGCTTGGAGTGGCGCTGTCACTTGACTGGTGTTGCTGCATGTGCTGTCTCAGAAGCCTAGCAAGAAAAAGCAAAAATGAGAGGGGAAAGAAAGATAGATAGCTGGTTGGAGAACGCGAGAACAAGGATGTGAGGTGGGAAGTGCCGCTGTGCTATTTTGGTGTTGAAAGCTTAATGACGATGCTGGACGATGCCTAGCAGCCACAATTTCCAGGCAGAAACGGCAGAACCAGCCAGAAGACGCAGCGCTACACCCACTGAGGCAACCTCTGAGGCACCCACTGGGACGCGTCGGGAGGCCTGAGCTGCAGTGGCCTGTCAGGGCACACAACCACTGTGGGTCAGCTCCCCAGGGCGCAGCCACTGCCGTTTTCCTGTTTGGGCTTCGGGCACCGCCAGCTGAAAACCGGCAGTCGTCACAATGAGTCCATCCGTGATTGTGATGTGATTGCAGCCATCGACAAGATGCCAGGCGCAGGGCGTGCATATTCTCACAACTCACAATCCCAAATACGACTCTCCGCGGCCTCAGAGGTGCCGGATTGGCTCCAGTGTCATCCGCCCGGCCAAGCATAAGGTAGTGCCCCTCCTCCTCCCGACAGGAGCTCGCTTCATTTCTATTTCAAAGTGATGCCTCCCCCGCTCTATCCCAAGTGCTAGCCTTTCGATCGTCACATTTCTGTTCACTCTCCCTCCTCTGGTCTCCCTCTCTACTGTTCACACATCAGCATCAGCTATATAGAACAGGCGCCCACAATGAGCAAGTCCGCTCCCTCAGACAAAGACGCGGGCTACAAGCGTGCAAACGAGATCAGCAGCTCCATGCTAGGCATGCCAGGATATGCCGATGACTCCATGCTATTCGTCGTCCGGTTTGCCAATAAACTCAAGGTACCTACTTGCTCGACTACCTCCTCGCAGAGTGGTAAATGCCGCCTCTTCGTCCAGACTAACGTTTCTGCCACAGACTCGGCTCAGCCAGAGAGACCACGACCAGTTCTGGAAGTCCCTCGACGCCATGACCAAGGCCAGCGCCAGGCCCGCCGAGGAGTTCGGTGGTGTCGAGGGCCGCGCCCAGCACGTCTCGGAGCTACGCCAGGCCACCCTCGAGTCCGTCAAGGACTACCCGGACCTCGTCCAGGAGTTCGACCACTTCTGCAGCGTGTCGAGGGCGCAATTCAAGAAGTACAGAGGGGAAGGCCCCTCGGCATCCTCCTCGTCAACAGCAGCAACGTCGGAGACGAGCTGACGGTGGAGCGTATCGCGATGGCCCCTCGATCTACCCAGTAGGCTGGATCTCAAGCTTCGGCATGGTCTCGTGATACAATCGCAGAGGTGCGAGTGACAATGTGATGGTTATGATGATGATGATTTTTGGTGTTTGGTCTTGGATCTCCGCTTCGTGATACCATGTGTACGTAATCTGCAATCTGCTGCAATACACTTATCTTCCCTCTTTGCATGTCGGCTCGTCTTGCCTTGCCTGCTCTCTGCTTCTCCCCATATAATTGAGGGTATCGATCTCACGAACCGTGCTCATGCAAAGTGCAATTCGCATTCAATGCGAGATGGGGCATTTCCCCCTCAGCTGAGAAATAAGACCAACACTGCCTCAAAATTGCACAAGGGAGCAGGCCAAAGTTCCGTTGTACTGCGCTGGGCACACCATGGCCGCTTTTGGTCTTATCTACCTTAGGTAGGTAGAGAGTGCATCCAAGACTGAGGTCGTGTTTGTATTGAGCCGATGTTGCATTGCCTCAAAAACAAGGCTGCATCGCGACCGTTCCGTCGGGAGCCACTTACCCTAGACCGCGATCTGGCCAACTGGCTGCCTGCTGACGTCGATGTGGCCAGAAAGCTCCGTCGCTCTGCGCTGCGTTGTCTTACCTAACGGCCAATCCACCGCCAAGCTACGAGCTGCAGCACCGGTCGCTCACCGTCGGCCCTCAAAAGTCCAATCTGTCCACCACGAGCTGGCCGAGCCATCAGTGCGAACGAGGGCGTCCCCCACCGCCTCACCACCTACGCAAACCTTCTCTTCGTCCTCTGTAATTTGATCTTTCTATTCCGCCATTGTCCTCTCCGACTCCCCTCCCCCACCCGAAAAGGCCACCGAAAGGCCACCCCTGACGAACTCCAAAACCGCCCACGAACTCCTCCCACCATGTCGAACTACTATCCCCAGCAGCAACAGCAGCAGCAGGGCCCTTACGCCCCCTCGGGTCCCCAGAACCTCCAATTCTACCCGTCGAGCTACTCCCCAGCACCAGGCGGCGGCGCCCAGGGTGGCTATGGATATGGAGGTCCAGGTGCCAGTGCCAACGCGCCCGGAGGCTTCACATCTCCTGGCTTCGGAGGCCCGAGTGTGTCGGTGTCAGGCAGGATGGGCGATCAGGGCGGACTGAGCACAGGTTGGCTGGCCGCTTTCTCCACGGAAGGCTATGACGGCGAGCCTGCGCTGCTAGAAGAGTTGGGAGTCGACTTCAGGTTGATGACAGAAAAGGTACAGCTCGACTGCTAATTCCTCGAGCGGATAAGAGGTTTCCTGCCAAGTTACCCTTCGAAACCAATATGCTGATACTCCTTGTTTTCTCAGACTCTCGCTGTTCTCAACCCCTTCCGACCGATCAACCAACACATCATGGACGACTCAGATATCGCCGGACCACTCCTCTTCTTCTTCCTGTAGGTCCCAAGAAGCCCAGCTCGACAACCCCAACCCCGTCGCAGGCGCACAACTGACAGCTTCACGCCCACAGATTCGGCACGTTCCTCCTCTTCTCCGGCAAAGTCCACTTCGGCTACATCTACGGCCTCGCCCTCCTCGGCTCCTCCTCCCTCCACATCATCCTCTCCCTCATGTCCCCGACCGAATCCCAGCAGCAGCAGCAGGAGCCGCAGCAGTACCCCGACCACGGTAGCGGCGCGCCCGGCGCCCACCACGGCGGCCACTTCTCCTCGACCCTCACCTTTGGCCGCTCCGCCAGCGTCCTGGGGTACTGCCTCCTGCCCCTCGTCGTCACCTCGCTCATCGGCGTCGTCATGCCCATGAACACCCTCTTTGGGCACCTCATCACGTCCGCCTCCATCCTGTGGTGCACGTACAGCGCCAGCGGCATGTTCTGCGCCGTGGGGCGCATGCGCGGGATGCGCGTCCTGGTGGCATACCCCCTGGCGCTCTTCTACATTGGATTCGGGCTCATGTCCATTTTCAGCAGCAGAGGCGTTGGATCTCCGCTACAGGCGAGCCCTTAAGTCTCGAACCGGGCAGGAATATATACGTGGTGGTAGGAACACATTGGTGTACAGCATACAGGGAAGGGAGGTGTAAAAAATGGAAGGGCCTCGTCCGAGGGCGAGGTATCGGCTTGGAGACTCCATGAGGGAAATCTCTTGAGTCCGCCTGCCTTGGTTTATATACGCGGACAGAGATTTAGTTACGAGCCATCTACTTCTCGTCAAAAAAGAGGATTAGGGGCAGCTTGGGAGCACTGGCGTCAAGGCTGCTGGGACATAAAGGGTGACACTTTGGTTGTAGTTTATCATATACTCGCGCACAATAAAGCGATTAAAGAAGGCAGCATATCATTTCGTCCCTATTCCAGCTAGTAGAAAAGTGAAAACTCGCCAGTAACCTAAGCTACAGGAAGTCCAGCCCAGCAATTCCACAGCTGAAGGCATCGGAACAAAATAAATAAACGCCCCAGCGTAGCTATGAAACCAGCCGTTCATATTATCCCACCCCAGATTTTATCTCGTTGAAGTAAAAGAATCCACGCAATGCAGAGCCCTCAAGTAATCAGCCAGGCCACTCTCTCAAAGATTAACGGCAGAAATATCTACCAAACCAGAACCATATGAAACCATTATACTATCTCGACAATTGTTGGACAGATCTCCAAACGAAGGGCCACGTGTCGAACGATCACCACGCAGTTTTAAGAGGTGGGATTCGATAAATGGTACGAGTTCTTTAGAGCCTCAGGTGAGATCCAGCTGACACTCGTGGGTTCCAAGCTTCTTGCCTTTGAAATGCAGAGTAAAGACCGTGGACGCTCCGGATGGCACCATGTCCACTTCGTAGCTCATCTTTTTACACGTCTCAAATTCTGCGGATACAAAATCCTCAAAATCTTTGACCAAATGACTGATTTGGCAGCGGATGGAGCCCATCTTAGTGACCGATCCGTCGCGTCGGCTAGGCGGGTCGTCCAGCTCGCATTGTAGAAGTTCGATGGTGATCTCGGTCTTGTTTGATTCGTTTCCGAAAAGTTGGTAGAAAAGGTGTTTGATGGGTTCAGCCGCCATGACCACATCCCCCTAGGTTCATGTAAGTAAAATGATCAAGATAATGATAGGTAAACTTCGCATAGACGAACCTTCTTCAAGTACCATCGCATCTGGTGCCGTGCGATATATTTACCTTCAAGAGGCTCCCAATACTTGTCCTCTTCGCGGTGGAAGCCTTTTCTGAACGGCTGATAGATTTCAACACCCACGCTAAGCCTAGAGATAGTCGAAACCACGGACATGTGCGCCCGGGCAGAGAGGCCGGTGGGGTTTCCGTTAAGTCTGTCCATAAAGCCCTTATAGACGGCTCCTCGACAGATGGCGCTGCGTCTGTTATAGGAAGAAGGAATGTTAGAGGGTGTGCACAACTCATCGGCATTAGCCGTCAAGAAAGGTAAGCTCGGGATCAACTTACGGTTTCGTTCCACCAGCCTGCAAGACCTCTGGCTTACCCTTGTATTTTGTAGACAAATACTCATAAAGGTAAGGGCTTGAGCCAAGTCCTCCAACAAGAATGATAGCCGTCACAGGGTAAGGGGCAGACGTCGAAATCTGCCGAGAAACGAGCTCTCCAATCTTCGCAAATGATTGATCAAATGCCTTTTTGATGTCCGAGCTGAGAGGTACAAATATATCAGCACTGTATGCTTAGCAGTCCGGAGGGGGAGGGGGCTTGAACTATTCTTACACAGAGAAGTAAATTCGTCCGTCGATAATCTTCGGTTCTCGAGATAGATCATTCATGTCATCTTTTGTGGCAAATGCCTCGGCTGGGACGCTTATAATGTGTTTCTTCTTGTCGTTCTTGGAAGAAAAGATTGTCTTGATGCCATGTTCCCACTGGGACTGCATGATTTCACCGATACCTTTCAGGGTTAAATTGAACCAATGTCGGCCGAGACGAGCTTTGCAAACAAGACGAAATTTCTCATCAATGAACATTCCCCCACATATCCCAGCTAGGCAAGAATGTTAGCTATTCCAGATGCGTATAAAAACCGAGTGATAACTCACCTTCGCCTCCAGCAGCTTCGTGTAGTTCGATCGGATTCAAGCTCCCAACCTTGTATGTAATGATGTCCTTTGTAAAATGATTAGCAAACTAATAAGTAGTAGTGCAGTCTATACTTACGACAGTGCCGCCACCTGCATCACAGATCATGTAAACGTCATCTTCTTTCAGGTGACGCTCTTTCTCCCAAATGGTGGCGAGCGCCGCGGCTTCTGGTTCCATGGCAAATGACAGGACAGTCTCCCCAGCAGGGCGATCAGAGGTTATGCCAGCACGTTTAGCCGCATCCTTCATGGCACGCCTCGCATAGTCTTTCCAGCTAGCCGGAACAGTGAGGACCACATGGAATTTGAGGAGGTCCACAAGAGTTGATGATCGTGCCTTAGCAATGATTTCGAGAGCATGTTCCCAAAGCTTCCTCAGATAATCTGCGATTACTTCGACAGGTGTTTTCCCAAGTTTTTCAAGGACCTTTCGCGCTCGTAAGAGAGGCTCAGACTCTTTGATCTCTTTGGGGAGATCGGCATCACGGAGAAGCAAAAGCTTGAACCAGGAGAGGCGGTCTTTATCTTCAAAGGGAACCTGGTAACCCCAGGACAGAGTGCCTTCAGGTGTGTAGACCAAGGTGCTAGGAACTTTCGCCTCTTCCAGGTCGGCGTCAGGCCAAATGGTAATGAAATTAATTTGGTCGTTGCCGAAGTCTTCCGCTGTAGCCCAGCCAACACCAGAGTAGCTAAATGAAGTGTTAAGTAGAGTTATAATGATCGGAATTTGTACATTTTACTCACGTCGTTCCAAAATCGATACCGATGACGAGGAACTCCTCTAAATCCGTATCTCTTGTTGCTTTGATCTTCTTTGAGACCGCCTTTGGATCCCAGGAATCATTATTAGCATTCCTCTTTTTGGGCATGGCGGCTGAAGATGCAGGTTGTATCTGAGCTTGGTGATGTTGGCTGGTTGCGGTAAGGGTTAGGAGTGGATGATATGCAGACGTTGTTGGGAGGAAGTTGGAGGTGAAGAGGTGAAGGATTGGAGGAGATGATGAGCACAAGATGAAGGTGACTTTCCGCGGGATAAACAATGGCGCCTTGGAATTTGGGCAGGTCAGTTGCTCCTGAGAGATGTGCGAATTTGTGTGCCCTTGCCTGAGGCACAAACAAACTCTGCTGGATCTGGCGTCTCTCACTTGCACCTCAGATTCTTTTTGGGGCAACCCAACCTGTCATCTTGTTTGCTCATTCATCTGCTCCAGTGACAGGACCGTGTTTGTGAGGTCTCTCTCACTCTGCCTTTTCCCACAGCTAACTTCATACTCACACATCCGCCTTTCTCTTTGTTTTTTATCCACATGACTCTTCCTACTCGCTCATGTTCACACAAAACAAACATTCACGGCGCCTAGAAGCGCTCAATTCCCAAAAAGCCTCTGAAACTGGTTCCCAAATCACAGCTTCGGGCCAAAGCAAAGCGCCAAACGAGAACAGCGTAATCATGGATCTTAGCCCTTCCACAGACGCGCGTCAGACATCAAGGACAACGGCTACCAGAGGTGATAAAGCAGCAGAAGAAAAAGACTGTTTCACTTTCGAACCAACTCTGGGAAACAACCCTTTACCGAATCAAACCTCCAAAACAAATTCTACCACCCAAAAAAGCCGCAAAGTGGTCACTCGAAAACTGGGAAGCCGCAAGCATAATTCGCGCTTGAACAAACTGGGCCGGAAGAAAACAAGGTGTCAGAAGAGAGAATGGGCGAAATCATTCCTGCTACAAAAGTATTCGAAGGAATTGCGCTTTTCGAATTCGGCCCTAGAAAAATGCCAAGAGGACATGCAAGCACTTCGTAAGGGACAAGCCGACGCCCTTATCCAGGCGAGCGAATTCAAAAACGAGCTTGATATTGAGAAAGACATGCACACTAAAACCAAATCCGAGCTGTCTACTTCACAGCAAGAAGCATCAACACTTCGTCAGGCAGAAGCCCACGCTCGTGCCCAAGCAGACGAAATCGAAACAGCGCTTAATATTGAGAGACGAATTAACACTCACACCGAAACCTACCTTGCTGAAGAAGCAACATCCCTTCGTCACGCAGAAGCCGATGCCCGTGCCCAAGCAGGCGAGCTCAAAAAGTCTCTTGATATTGAGAGACAAATGCACACCAAAACTAAATTCGATCTCTCTGCTTCACGCCAAGAAGCATCAGCACATTTCGAGGGCAAATCGCAAGCCATCAATGACCGGAGCATGATGAGAAGGAAGATGAAAGATAAGCAAGCCATGCTTGAGGAGGAACTCACCAAGGCAAAGGAAACGGCCGCAACGGCTCGTCAGGGGCAAATGAAAGCTGTTTCTGAGCTGAACAAATCTATGCGGCTTAACCAAGGATCTGACCAGTCCACCGACACGCAGTTGGTCCAGAAGCTGGTTGAGCTCCGCAATGACATTCGCACTTGGTCGTTGACCTATTTTATCACTACATCCGAGAACGCCTCTAAGCTGAGCAGGCACGACCTCATGAAGATCCTGGACAAGACGAAAGTTCATTCCTTTACTCGCGAAAATTTCTTTGAGAGATCCCTGCAAGACCCAACAATACGTCCAACAGTTGTTCGTTCGATTCTCTGGAAAGTACTTCAGTGTGGAATATTCCGACAGTATCTGTGGGTGATGGGACCATTTATGAGCAGGTCGGTGAAAGACACCCACAACTTCCTTTGTACGTATGGTTAAGCTCAGGCTCTGCTCAGCTCCCCCAAAATCAGATGTGCCCCGAGCGTGGACTAACATAATGTTTTAGCATTCCACATGGTCAAGAAGCACACCCAAGATTCTAATGAAAAATCCCACAAGTTCAACATTTGGCGGGCAAATGGAAGTGCCATGTTCTCTCAGGCACCGGACCCAGACCAGAAACGCACGAACAGAGATCAAATAATCACCAAATGGGTAGCAACAATCATAGTCTTGTTGAAACCCCTCTTTGCCAACCAAGATCAGAAGGATGTCGAGGACGATTTATATCAAATCATAGATCAGGCCTTGGCGTTGGATGAAGAGCTTTGCCAACAGGTTGCAGATGTCTCGGTTCAGTACCTAAGAGACTCAGCTGGCTTAGTAAAACTTCGCTTTGATTCGGATGCCATGACTACGGAGATTGGTAGCAAAGATGCTACAGCAGGAGATGCCGTCTCTGCAATTCTCGCGCCTGCATTGGTCAAGCGAGGCAACTCAGCCGGCAACCAGTTTGACAAACAGATTTTGTTGGTGCCGATGGAGGTTATTTGCCAGCCTGCCGAGCCGAAACCAACTTCACGCGCAAATCCAATCCTAGTCCAAGACCCAACTCCCAGCCCAAAGGTTTAGGATGGTTCCCAAGGCCCGGGTTGTTCAGTTAGCTAAGGGAGGGGCAGAGCAGAGGCGGTCACCAAGAGAATATTTGGTGCAATTGGCTCGTCAATCCGTTGCACCTGAACCATAACAGGTTGCCCACCTTAACCTTAGGAGCGGAGAGCAGAGATCTAGCGTGCGGGGAGAGTGGTTCTAAAGACGATTCTGGATGCTCAAGGGAACTAAAAATTGACAAGAGGGAGCTGCTTTGCTTTAAGCTGGTCGCATGGGCAGTATTTAGTCAGAGTTCAATCATCAAATTGAAAGTTGCCTCGTTCTACGGCGGTTCTTGCAGTGAGATAGTGCCAGGGCAGGGGTGTGATAGGGGTCCAGGACAGGACGGGTAGCGGGGCCTAGTGCGGCAGTAGAGCAAATAATACAGAGACTATTAGTTGTGTTCAGTGAATGGTCTGGTGCTGATTCGGGGCTCATTTTACGCGAGTGCATGAGTGTGTGGGCGCTTCGTATAGAGAAGCCGTTTGATTCGCCGCATCGGTCGGGCATGTTTTGGCTAGCGGTGGACGGCTGAGCAAATCGCATCGATCCCGGCTGTCAAAGTCAGGGGCAAGGGGAAAAGCTTGTCGCTGGAATGTATTCTTAGATAATACCTGAGGTGCTGTCCCGTATGTCTCTCTCTGCCTGCCCTAGAACCTGCATACCCAGGTAATCACAGCAGACTGGATACCAGACATCAACCAGAATGCTACTCAAAAAGGCCCGCATCATGGCCGTCGGCCTGGCCCTGCTGCTGTGCCTGCTCGTCTACTGGCACCGCCAATGGGCCCCCGAGGAGGAGTTCCCCGTCGTCGCCCAGCTGCCGCCGCTGGAGATGCCGCCGTGGCCCATCGCCGAGGAGCTGTGGCGGGCGCCTGGCAACAAAACCTGGAAGCCAACGTTTCCCATCTCCAAGATGGCGAGGCCGCCCATGGCCGAGACGGAGCCGCTGCCCCAGATCCAGGCGACCTTTGACGTCGAGTCGATGCAGGCCCAGGCCACCCGCCTCGAGCGCCAGAACGCCGTGCGCGCCGCCTTCCTGGCCTCGTGGCACGCCTACAAGAAGCACGCCTGGATGGCCGACGAGCTGCGGCCCATGTCGGGCGAGAAGCACAACGCCCTCGGCGGCTGGGCGGCCACCGTCGTCGACTCGCTCGACACCCTCTGGATCATGGGCCTGCACGACGAGTTCGCCAAGGCCGTCGCCGCCCTCGACGGCGTCTCCTTCAACCGCACCCGCCTGGCCGAGGTCAACACCTTCAAGACCACCGTCCACTACCTCGGCGGCTTCCTGTCCGCCTTTGAGCTCAGCGGCGACGTCCGCCTCCTGCGCAAGGCCGTCGAGGTCGGCGACATGATGTACAAGGCCTTCGACACCCCGAGCCACATGCCCGTCACCCGCTGGAACGCCCGCGCCGCCGTCACGGGGCTCAACCAGACCGCCGCCGCCAACGCCGAGGCCGCCGAGGTCATCGGCCTGTCGATGGAGTTCACGCGCCTGTCCCAGATCACCGGCGACCCCAAGTGGTTCGACGCCGTCCAGCGCGTCAACGAGGCCTTCGCCGCCGCCCAGGACGACACCGCCCTGCCCGGCATGTGGCCGCAGAGCATCGACGCCCGCCAGGTCCGCCTCACCTCGGGCACCGTCTTCTCCCTCGGCTCCAGCGGCGACTCCATGTACGAGCACCTCCCCAAGATGGCCGTTCTCACCGGCGGCCAGCTGCCCGTCTACCAGTCCATGTACGAAAAGGCCATCAACACGTCGCGCCGCACCAACTTCTTCCGCCCCATGCTCCCCGGCATGCAGGACGTCCTCGTCGCCGACACCGTCCACGCCAAGGAGGTCGACGGCGAGCGCCGCATCAACTACGAGTACCGCGCCCACCACGGCGCCTGCTTCGCCGGCGCCATGCTCGCCCTCGGCAGCCGCCTCTTCGGCCGCCCCAAGGACCTCGCCCTCGCCTCCAAGCTCACCGACGGCTGCGTCCTCGCGTCCCAGGCGTTCCCCTTCGGCATCATGCCCGAGTCCGTCGCCGTTGCGCCCTGCATGTCCGCCAGCACCTGCAAGTGGGACGACGACCAGTGGCGCCGCGAGGTCCTCATGGCCCACGACATGAGCCCCGCCAACGTCTCCCTCGCCCAGCCCCTCATCGACGCCGCCGCCCTGCCCCCCGGGTTCACGCGCGTCCACGACTCCCGCTACACCCTCCGCTCCGAGGCCGTCGAGAGCGTCTTCGTCCTCTACCGCGCCACCGCCCGCCCGGACCTCCCCGACGCCGCCTGGGACATGTTCACCGCCATCGACGCCGTCACCAGGGCCGACATGGGCCACACCGCCGTCTCCGACGTCACCAATCCAAAACGCGACCCGGACGGCATGAACTCCATGGGCACCGTCTGGATGGGCTCCACGCTCAAGTACTTCTACCTCATGTTCTGCGACCCGCAGATGCTCAGCCTCGACGAGTACGTCTTCAACACCGAGGGGCACCCCATGAAACGGCTGAGGCGTGCGGCCGTCGAGCCGTAGACGTGAGATGAGAGGGGATGGGGCGCTGGCTGGACCAGCGGTGTATTTTTTTTATTGGCTATTTTAGATCTGTCCTTCGGGCTTCTTATATGTTTGGGAGAGGAAGAATCTTTACATCGTTCAAGGGAGCGATGGACTATGGAAAAAATATGATCTCGGCAATGTTTAATGAAAAGGGGACGGAGAGGCGAGGCTACTACTTGGATATATGCATTCATTCCTTCACTATTACTGGTATTTGTTATATTTCTGCTCTTTGGGTTTGTTCATAGCACAGGACATCGTTACGGTTACATTAGACAGGCAATTTATCACATCACATCACTCTGCAAGCATCTGGCCTCAAGATTCTGGTTAAGAAAGTGGGTAGTTGGTCCCCTTGACATTATGCCATTCATTACGCTGTCTGCCACAACTTCACTACCCAGCCGAGCTTCATGCGAAGCCAATAATCAACATGCGTAACTCAAGATCCAAATGCATCTCTATATCGATATGTTACATGCCTCCGACGCCTCTGACCGAGGCAAGGGGCGCAAAATGAAAAATAAGAAACGTGATAAAAAAGTCAAAATAGCCGCTGCGCCAATCGAACGTGCATCCTCGTCGCTGTCATTCTCTCCGGTCAATCCTCGTTCGACAAGTAATTAAGCCCGCCTCGCTCGCCTGTATTTTTTAAACCCCGGGGCCGAATGTGCAAAATCCCTCGATGCATCGAAATAAAAACAAGCATAAAATTAAAATCAATGCAGATGCACAGGACCAATGGGAGCTGTGCTTGTCTGAGGCCAGCCTTCAGCAGCAGAACCACAGACCATGTTCATAACAAAAATCTCGCCAGCCATGTGAACAAGGCATAATAGCTGCCAGATCATGCTTAGTGGCCGTTGACACCGTTGGTCTTGGGAGCATCGTCAGGGATACCCCAAAGAACCGAGTACTGACCACCGGCGCCGGCGCCGATAATCTTCTTTCCGCGGATGGCAGTGTTGTCAATCAGAGTAGGCTTCTCGATGTCGTCGATAGTACCCTGGCCAGTCTGGTAGTTGCTTGAGAAACCCCAAGAGTAGACCTGGCCGTCCTTAGACACGGCAAAGCTGTTGTCGGTGCCGGCATTAACGGCGACAATTCCTGAGACGTCTGGATACTGTTAGCAGAGAAGCAAAAGATTGCATTATTGACTGGAGCTTACCTGGGACAACGGTGGGCACGAAAAGGATACGGGGAGTATCGCGATCATCAAAGATGGCGTTCTCCTTGGTCAGAGTGCTGGGATCAATGCCGACCTGGCTACCATCGACACGGCCCCATGTGAGCAGCTCGCCCTTGGCAGAGCAGGCAAGAGAGTGGTGACCACCACCATCAATCTCGGTGACCTTGTATTCCTCAAGAGCCTCGATCTTGGCAGGCTTCAGGATAACGGCAGCATCCTCACCAGCATTGCCCTCAACACCGACCTCGCCGAAGTTGTTGAGACCCCATCCCCAAACATTGTTATTCTTGTCGATGGCGAAGCTGTGGTAGGAACCGCAGGCAACCTGGGTGATCTTGCCACGGGGAAGGCCGACGCCCTGGGGAATGAGGGAGGAGAGCTTGTTGCGTTCGATGATACGGCGACCGAGCTGGTTCTGCTGTCCGCAGCCCCAGGCAACGACGTTGCCCTTGGCGTCGAGGGCAAGGATGTGGTTGGCACCGGCGGCCATGGTCTTGATGTTCTTCAACTCGGGGAGGAGCACGGGGGTCTGCTGAATCTTAATCGTGGGAGTGAATCCGAGAATGCCATCGCTGGATCGGAATGTGCCCCAGCCGTAAACGCGACCATCCTCAGTCAAGGCGAAACTGGCACTGTCACAAGCAATGACTTGGACAAACTTGGTGTTCTCGGCAAAGTACTCCTCGGAGACCTCACCCGGTGTGCTCTCCATGGGGTTGATGCCCGTGTCATCGTCATCATCCTCAGAATCGGAGTCTTCGGCCTTGTCCATATCGCGTAGCCCACCATCCCAGTTGGTGTCGCGTCCCAGAGCACCCTGGTCGTTGACACCCCAGGTCAGAATCTTATTGTTGCGAGTGAGGGCGATAACGTGCATGCCACCGGCAGAGATCTGGACGATGCCGGCATCCTTGGTAGACAGGTTGTCGTTAAGACGGGGTCGCTTGACATCGATGGGCTTCTTGCCGTTTACGCGTTTGCTTCCCAGACCGAGCTCGCCAGAGGTTCCCTCACCAAAGACATAGATATCAAGGACCTGAGTAGGTGCGTCGTTGATCTTCTTTCCAATCGCGACCTGGGGTCTCGTGGACTTCTTGGGGGCTTCGGTCTTCTTGGGAGCGGGTTTAACGGGGGCAGGCTCGGCGGCAGGCTCGGCAGACTCGGCCTTGGTCTTGGACTTCTTTGCTACAGACTTCTGGAAGTCCTCTTCGGGGTCGTCCTCAGCCTTGCGCTTCTTCGACGCGCCGTTGGTGGCGGGCTTGGGCTCGGCCTTCTTGGTGGCAGCAGCCTTCTTGGGTGCGGCCTTGGGAGCAGCAGCGGTCTTGGAAGCGGCGGCCTTGGTGGTCTTCGCGGGAGCCTTGGGGGCGGCCTCCTTGGCGGCAGCCTTCTTGGGTGCAGCTTTTGCGACGGCAGCTTTCTTGGGGGGGGCCTCCTTGACGGCGGCCTTCTTTGTCGTCGTGGCTGGCTTCGCAGCCGCAGCTTTAGTTCGGGGGGCCATTTCAGGAACGCGACTGGGCGATTGTGATGAGGGAAAGGGGGTTATGGGATGGGAAATCCGCGCGTTGGATCACTTGGGGCTATGAATCTGATGAAAACACCATGCAAATTGATGGAGGAAGGGACAAACCGCGACGTGGACGTGGAAGGAGATGGGTTGAAAACAGCGCGGCGCGGTGCGAGGGAGGATTTTTGGGCTGCAAACTGAGTACCCGCTGCTATGTTATCGAGTGGACTTTTTTTTGTTTGGTGGTGCCACACCCACGAATCTGGTCCAGTGCACGCGCAGCCCACCGCGTTCCCCAGAACAATCGATTTGTCCGGCAGAAACCTGCAATTGAGTAGGCGGTGAAGAGTAGCGGCCCATTGTTCAGGTGTTCATCAGCAATCAGCCCCACTAAAAACCGATCCACAGGAGCTCTTAGGGCCAAACGGCCCCTGTAGCTCCCTGGAAAACGCTCGAGCTTTGGTCGCAACTCAGATCTCGAGGAACCACGAGCGTGGGAGTGAGGGCAAGGGTCCCGTCTCTGGCAGCTCTTGGGCATTGTTCAATGCATCCTCACCGATTCACGACTTGACCGACAATAGCGAAGTGGGTTCGGTTGGACCGCTCACAGGCCGCCACGCTTTTTCCTTCCCAATTCGAGCGGCCTGCAATAGTGTCTCGCAATTCGTGATTGTTGCTCCTTTAGTCAGCCACCACAATCAAATGCAAGTCACATAGCGCGTCAGTTCGGCTCGGTTCTCTGAATGTTTTTATTTCGTCTATTGTCTTTGGCAAGGCCGGTTTGTCAACCGGGTCAATGTAGGAACAATACACAAGTTCCTTTTTCTCGAGACATCTTCACATCGTAGGTAGTCGTACAATCAAATGCCTCCCTCCACCCCGCGCCCGAATTCCCATAAACCAAGCAGGGAGCAAACAGCAAGCCCTGAGAAATGCAATGGCGGCCAAAAGGTCACCCGATCAATCATTACGTATCGCAGTCAATGCAAAGACCCCATGCCCCAAACTCCAAGTTCCCCCAACGCCGATCACCACTCCACAAACCCGCTACTCTGACCGATACAAATCGTCGGCTCATTTGGTGGTGAAGTCAATCTCGTTGGCCGGGTTGAACCCGCCATCAGTGGCCTTCTCACAGGTGCAAGCCCCTACGCGTTTGCGGTCAGCCATGGATGATTCGCCACAATGAACAAAGAATTGCCGAATCTCGCAGGGAGGCGGCTTGGTTCCACATTTGACTTACCTGAGGGTCGGCTGCCACAAGCACAGGTGGAATTGCCCAGAGAGGCGTTCTCAGTGTTGGCTCTGTCACAGGTGCATTGGCCGGCTGGGCGAGCACGGCACGAGCATCGAGCGCCGGTGACTTCGTTCTCGGTTGCTGCCTTGGCGCAGCTGCAGTGCAGGGCTGACTTCTCGCCGCAAGAGCAGGTTGCCTTTTGGGCTATAGAGACGATGTCAGTACAAATTCCAAAGGTGAGCTTGAATTACGGGATTGCGTACCACAGGTGCACTCGGCGCCGGAGCCTTGGCAGGTAGAGGGCTTGACAGTCATGTTGATGGTGGTAGGTTGCGTAAACAGAACAGACGTTGTAGGTATTATAAATTGAAGGTCGTAAAGAGAGATATTTTCGTATCAAAACTGAAATGATTGATGAGACTGAAATATAATTGGCAAGAAGCTCAGATTGACCGCCGATGAGCTGCTCTTTTGTACCTGATGATGGTTTCGGAAGCCCACTAAAAATGGCTGGACTCGGGCGTAATTGGAGAGCCGCTGATTGGCTGAATCATGTCATCAGCCAATAAGATGCTACATATTTCCAACCACACCGTAATCTAGCCTGATGTTAAGTTCTAGCCTTTTCTCTGATTCCAACTTGGTACGTCATGACAGACCATCTCGCTTTCCTCCGACACTATTTGCCTTCGATTACACATCGCGGACGTTTCCGTTCTAACCCACGTTTGAATTGGCAAAGAGAGATTGATGTGTCTCTACCTACCTACCTGACTTATGATTGTTAATTTGCCCAATTGAGAGGAAGGCTCAGATGGCCATAATTGGGATTGGGAACACTCACACCAACTTCTCAACCGTTGATCTATCATCACCCTTCCTTTGCGACTTCAATTCGATTTTCCTTTATCCCCAGAAATTATATTATGATGCGACTACGCCAATGAATTCTTTTATCTATTCATCTCAAAATCCACACAATCGCATCGATGATGGTTCTAGTCCGCTCTGGTCCCGGGTAGGCAGCATGCCAACATCCACACCACACAACAATCAAAGTCAAGGTTGACCATCGCTGTTTCGGCTCTCCTTAGATGTAAGAAGGCCTTTCGCCTCCGTGACGACCTACAATCTCGTCCAAAAATTGCCTCAATACCTCCTCGTCCTCCGGTCCATACTCATCTTCCGTCGGGTTCGGCCCAGCATCGTGATTCCAGAATGGGCCATCACACTCGGAATAACAAAGCCTGACATCCTCCCACTCACGCCTCGAGAATCGACCCGAGTAGAACCGGGGATCTGAATCATCCAGCACACCATGGCGGTACAGCTCCTCTGAGTCGTAGTCGTATTCAATCTCAATCTGCGACATCACGTCGAAGATTTTGAGGGAGTGCATGGATTCTCGGAAACGCTGGAGGATATGGGACCACCGAAGCTCGGGAACTATCTCGACCATGCCTGTCCCTTCTCCGTTGTAGCGCTTCATGATGTCGATGCGGGGGTAATTGTCATTCGAGACTTCGATGTCGTTCCCCTGCGCGTCCTGCCCGAGGACGGTCGAGGGCCCGGGCAGCGGGCCTGGAATGTTGCCCTTGTGGAGCACAGAGCATTGGTCGAGATACAGCTTCTTCAGACCGCCGCTTTCTCTGCCTTGGTTAATGATCCAGTCAATCTGCCACTCGTGGCTGAGCACGTAGTTGCCGAGAGTCAGCGTCTCCAGCTTGGGGAACCCGCCCTGCGAATGGTTGACTGTGCGGAAGTCCATCTTGGGGTTCCACCCCCACGGGTCCATGCAGTAGAGGGAGAGCACCTTCAAGTTGGCTGCAAGCGAAGGGGAGAGCCAGGTCTGCTGGAGGGTATCGAAGAAGTCATAATGCTGCTTGAACACCTCGTCATTATGCTCCTCAAGGACAATGTAGAGCTTGAGGCAGGTGATGGTGCCGGAATCGATCACTGCGCGGAAAGCCTCCGAGGTTGTGAGTCGCTCGTCGTTGAACCCTTCCAGGTTGTGCACCTCGAGTAGCTTGATGGGAATGGCTGGCATCAGAGAGTTATCGGGCTCGTCATCTTCCTCGCCATTTGCGTTGTCAAAATCCCAGTCTAGGTTCGCTTCCTCGTCAATCTCCAGCTGGCGCTCTGCGGTCCATGTGCCAGCGAGGCTCTCAAAGATGGTCTGCAAGACGCGGTAGCGGAAATCATGCGTCTCCTCTACGGCCACCCAAGTGCGGTCCTCGTAGTCATCCCCGCCGCAGTGCTCATTGAAGTCAACGCCGAGAGCCTTGAGGTTGGAGAAGAAGCGCAGATGCGGCAAGGCCTTCATGAAAGGTGCCGGTATCTCATACGACGCATTGTGACGGTATTCAAAGTCACCCCCCACGTTTGTGTCAATGATGATCTCCCGCACGTGGCACCGAAGCGAGTCATTCTGCGCCACCTGAAGGAAGCGTTCTGCTTCACCCTCAGCAGCGGAGAGCCGAAGACGGCGGAAGAGCGACGGCGTTGCTACCGAGCAGGCTGAATGGCTGAGGAGTCTGCAATTACGTAGTGTTGGTCGGTCAGTATGAGAGAAGACGAAATATAGAATGTCAGCCGAAAGCTTGACATTCGAGTTTGGATCGTTAGACAACATAGTGATAGTGTCGCTGAACGGTCGGTTTGGGTTGCGTGAATCTTGGCGAGAGAATGTCAAGTAAACAACAAGGAAGTGGGTAGCACCACTCCTCTTTGGGGTCGTATTATTACTTAAGCTAATTTAGATTGGAATTTACGCTTAGAGGAGCAAAAGGAGCAACCCCTGCCGTAACTAGAGCCTCAAATGGGTGGCTCATGATGAGACATAGGGATTCACTCGCGATTTGTTTCCCGCGCGGCGGCCAAAAAGGGAAGTTGATGAAACTACAGGGAGGCGCTTCCACTTATAATAAGATTTGCACGGCATTTACTTCCCCATTATCTGCCTGAACAGGTTCCCTTATTATTTTCTTAATCATAAGTTCACATCAAACAGCATTCAAAACCTTAGTTCATGTTCTCAGAGACTTCCAATTACGCACGTGAACTGATACAACGCCTGTTCTAACAACCATTATTTCTCTTCTTCTTGTAAAGTTAGTCCATGGTTAGGATTAGATACTTTGATAACTATAGACCGTCTCTCTCGCTGTAAAGGGACCAAACAACTTTGAAATTATCAAGCAACCAACACGACTTTTCATCTGTCGCCTATTGCAGAAACGTCAAATTTATCATCATATCGGAGAAGTATTTGGTAAACTACCACCAAATTTTATCATGAGACTTAATGTGACAAATAACATAAATTCGTTAAAGTGTTTACTGGCTACAGTGGTGTGATCTGCTTCCATACATGGTGTACGTAGTATTCGGACGTCGGAATAAGAAAAAATCACAGAGTTCACTCTCTTCTCAACACTTATAATATGGCTATGTATGTCTAAACTGATACACACATACGAATATTGCGTTGCGGAGAGCATCTTCTGTCTCCCCGTGGTCTGGTTCGGTGCTGCAGAATCTGGCTCCTCCCTAGTGACGAAACACAATCAAACTGCGCCTAGGCCATGGGGCGGCTTTTCTATTCGATTCATTCATATATGAACAGAAGCCTTTTTCATGTCTGCTAATGAATCACATGATATATTACACGTAATGATACAGTACATCGCTGAACATTAGTCAGAGTGCATGGCTGCTTTCCTTCGTCTGATCTTGTTAGGGATGCCAACAACGCCATGGTTTCGACTTATAAATATTTTTGGAGCGTAATTGACAGGAGGACTAGGCCAAGATCAACAGGAACATACAGGTGTCAGACAAATCCCCGGAGACGCCCAACTACGCTGTTAGATGTTGCCTACCACACACTCAGAATTGGCCGATCAAAAACGGGTCTACCGATGCCAAACGACTAAGCAGCATATTAGAGAAAAGTATAATAATAAGAGGCCTTGGTGCGGGGTGTGAGGGGGGCGCAGCTTTCTCTAAACTACGGCACCTCTAGCTGCACTCACATGCACATGCTACTGGGTTAGGGGTGACGTATTAATTCGTCGACCGCTCGTAATGTGCAATCTTTGCAGCTGATGATTTGAACTATCGGTCAGGAAATGCAGTATTCTTACCCCTCACGAAGCAGACATCGCATTCTTCAATACGAGCAAAGTGAAACAGTGGGATAAGCGGGGGGAAAGACAATATGAAACATGCTAGGTGCCAGTCCAGCATTAGCCGACCAAGAAAAGAGGCTGGGAGAGGCAGCAAGAATCGACCGCTCTACTATTAGCACCTATTCAGGGAGACTTTGCGTGCTTTGGCTTGGGCAGCTGAACGTTGGTGGTGGGTAAGCCTAGACGACGGACGTGATCGGTTGGACCGACCATTGTCGACTGCGTTTCTGCCTGTTGGATTCTATTTTCCTGTTTGACGGGGTAGGCGGTTATTCATCCCGCCCTGCTAGGTTAAATATAGCAGCTGCACAAGCAAACTCTAGCTATGTGCTGTGGTGATATGTGAACAGAGGCGGCATCGCTAGCTGCAGGCTATGCCGCCATTGACGCAAGAGTGCGCATACACATGCCCAGCTTATTCATTGTTCTGCCAAGCCCATCCGAACTACGTATGTGAGCTATTGGGAGGCGCCGACGGACAGAGTTTAGTCGGGGTGCTGCCTTGATTCCGGAGTCATCGCCATGGCTTGCAACTAAGGGAGAGACGAGGCTTTCTCGACCGCTACGAAATTAAACTCACCCGCTAGCCATGGCCGTGGTCCAATCCAGGTCTTGCGTCTGTGGGGAGGTCATCAGCTGCTACGTGGCGGTCTGACCGGAGCTGAAAACCCAAAGGCAACTAAGACGAGCTAGATGTGCCACTTCTGGATCTTGCCGGCGGACGTGCATTGAGCATTGAGGCATTGAGCAGTGCTATGTGTGCACCGCTGCCAAGGGAGGTGACCCCTCCGCGACTGTGCAAGAGGGACGACAAGATCCTGACCCGGCGGGATGGATATGGGCTGGATGGTTGGCTCACAACTGCCGTTGAGGATGCAGGGATGAGGCAGTGCGCGAAGTGGTGGTCAGTCCGGAACAGCCACCGACTTGCCAAGCCGCCCTCGCCCGTTTCCTACTCGTCGAAGCTTGATTTGAGGTCCCCGACCGATAGCCGGTAGGGCTAGATCCAAGCCCGCTCCATCGTCTTGAGCATGCAGCTAGGCCTGGCGTGGTTAACGCGAAGTGCCTGCGGTATGTGACTGAATGGCTCATGGCGGCCTAGAACATGCATCGCCTTGCCTCTGTTGCAAGTAATAGGACTCAGCTGCCTGGCTAGGCACCTTATTGGCAAGCCACTCAGGTATCAATGGCCAGTGACAGAGCTGGGCTGGCTGGATCTGAAAATAAAACATCTCGCCGTCTCCAGTTCTTCACCATGCTTCTCTATCGCTCCTCCAGAGTCAGAAGCTTGCCTATATCTTCTCATTCCAAGCCACATCCTCGCCTCTGACGACTGGAAGTATCAAGCCGACACCGATATCAAGCAAGCATGCGTTTCTCGGGCGCCCTCATCTTGGGGCTCGCCATTAGAGGCAGCCTCCAGCAAACTCCTCCGACATCAGGTGCAGCTGCGCCGACCAGCGCGGCAGTGGCACCAACATCTGCAGCAGTGGCACCGACATCTGCTGTGGTGGTCCCCTCAAGTGCTCCCCAAGCTTCGAGTGCCCCTCAAGCTTCGAGTGCACCCCAGGCGTCAAGTGCTGCGCAACCTTCGAGGCAATCCAGTGCCCAGGCCCCGGCATCCTCTGCTGCTGCACCCAGCGTCGCCCCTTCGGCGAGCGGACCGGCAAGCCAATCTTCTGCGGCCGGAGCTTCATCCCAGGCGCAGGCATCTTCTTCCGCGGCGGCACCCACCTCGGCAGGAGGACAAACCTCACGAGCGGCCACCTCTGGCGCTCAGGCCACATCTGCGGTAATAGCACCATCCTCTCAAGCACCTCCAACCTCACAAGCACCTCCATCTTCACAGGCACCTCCGTCCTCACAAGCACTTGCATCCTCACAAGCACCTGCATCCTCACAAGCACCTGCATCCTCACAAGCACTTCCATCCTCACAAGCACCTGCATCCTCACAAGTACCTCCATCCTCACAGGTGCGTCCGTCCTCGCAACCGGCTCCATCCTCACAGCCACCTAACACCTCCCAACCCACCTCCGTCCCGAGAGCAACGTCGACTAACTCCCAGGAGGCCACCCAAGGTTCATCCGCTTCTAGAGGCTCCGGCTCCGGCACCACATTGGCCACGGCCACTTCCGGAGGATCCCAGACCGTTGGAGGAACCGCGACTAGCCGCTCTGGTTCTGCCGCCACGACGACAACCACCTCGTCTGCCACCGCGGCGGTATCCTCTGCCAAGCTGGACTCGGCGACCGTGGGACAGAATGCCGCGGTGACGCAGGTCTCAGGAAAGCCCGCAGTGTAAGTCCAATCACCACTCATCAACTGCATCGAGTGTCGTGAGTTAACGTGAACCATCCAGTGTCATGAACGCACCAGCCAACGGCAAGTCATCCTTCACCGTCGAGGCCCAAAAACCCGCCGACGTCAAGCCCGGCGAGAGCATCAGGGTCCTCGCCACCATCATAGTCGGCCCCTCAGGCAACGGCAAGCGAGCCCTCCTCAACCGTCGACAGTCCGGCGGCGTGTGCCAGTTGCAGATGCAGGTCGACGGCACCTCCGTGTACGACGCCCAGGTGTCGGCCGCCGGGGCCGGCGGTGCCACGATGGACATCGCCACCAACGGCGCGCAGGCGGCCACGGACATGCCCAAGATCAACGTCACCCAGATCTGCGGGTCGACGCCCGTCGAGGTCACCGTCACCAACATGTTCGTGACGAGCGTCAACGGCGGGGTGATGAACCCGGATGTCGGCCCCAGCTCGACGGGCACGGGAGGTGGTAATAACGGCGGTACCACTACCTCGGGGACCAGGACTGGCTCGGCCACTACCAGCACTCAGAGTGCGACTGGTGGAGGTAACAACAACAACGGTGGCCACTCTGCTCTTGACGCTTCCTGGTCCTCCATCTGGGCTCTCTGCCTGATGGTTCCCGCTGTTGTCTTCGCTCTCTGAGATGGCCCACAATCAGGAGAGCAATCTGGTTGTATGCTCACGACCTGATCTCAACGCAATGTCCCCCTCGCCTGGCTCACAGGCTTAATGATGATGAAGTTCTTTGTTTTTGACACGACTTGATGACGGTCTTGTCACTCCACACTCTCTTGGAAGGATCAGCACATGGCAGCGGTGAATTTATTCCGGTTCTTTCTCTCTCTAGCGCGTCGGCATATCGTTCTTTCTTGGATTGGATTTCTCTGGGTCGTTTTTCTGTTGACTGCATCTTTCCTTAACATAGGCATCTGGCTTAGAGCCCGTTAGAAAGAAGAAGAATATACTCATGTTTCCGCCACGGGCAGCGGACTCCAACCACTATGTTGCAATCTCGTGATCCCCAGCGCCGTGATACTGTGTCAGCCACCTCACCCATTGGGCCAGATGGCAGCCAGGAGCCAGTCCATTTGGAGAAGGTTCTCCGTTATCTTGGGCATGCCATTGCGCATGGATTGATCTCGGAAAGGGTTGCATCTGATCTGCTACCCCGCTCCAGTCTGGATGAGACAAGCTCGCGCTCTCCAATTGGAATGAGGATACCCGGTCTGCAGAGTGACGGATGAATGAAGAGCCAGAAAAGCGTCGAGATGTGCCGCCGGAAAGGAGCCGGAAGACAGCTGTAGTGCTCCACCTCCGCACTGAGCTACAGCGGCCGACAGGGGCTCTGACATACTTTACAGGGGCTTTGACACACTTTACAGGGGGCCTGCAGCGGGCCTCTCCCCAGATCCATCAAGCCTGCATAAGCGGACGCGGCCATCTCACAGCCAAGGATGGATCTTCGCCCGCTGGTCCTTGCTTTGCAGCTTGCCAGTGGCTTCGGAATGTGGTTACATTCGCGAATGTATTTCCTGGGATGTGCTCAATCCAGGAGGTCTGTTCGATTCTAGCCTTCGGTTGACCGGACTGGCGTGCGGTATGTAAAGGCTGAGCTGTCTTCTCACCGCCCGGTCCATCTGCCTCTGTTCCCCTACACAGGCCGCGTCAGATCACAACCAGGGCTCTGAGACGAAAAAAAATTCCAGCTCAACCACAGCTCACCTTCTCTCGTGGGAGCCACCTCCGTCACAAGAAAGGCTGAACACACCCGGGCAAACCGCATTCCATCCATTCCTTTGCAGCTTTTTGTCGTCAAAAGAAAAGATGGACAAGGGCGAGGTCGCCGATATGGCTACCTTCAAGCATGTGGACGATCCGTCCCAGAATCCCGACAGCGGAATAGCTGCGACTGATCGGTGAGTTGGTTTTCCGTTCTGTGTTTCTTTCCCCCAATTTCCAGGTTTCTGACATTTGCTGTTTTTACAGATACGGTCATGCATTGTTCGAGTATGACCCAGCGACCGAGAGGCGTCTTCGCAACAAGATCGACCTCTACATCGTACCAATCGTCGCCCTGCTCTATCTTTTCTGCTTCATTGACCGTGCAAATATCGGTAAGTGGTCATTCTGTCTCTGCAAGAAATTGTAGAGACTGGCTGTTGCAACGACTCCAAACTAACCCATCGTGATAGGCAATGCCAAAATCGCCGGACTCGAGAAGGACCTCGGAATGTCGGGCTACGACTACAACGGCGTGATCTCCGTCTTCTACGTCTCCTACATCCTCTTCGAGATCCCGCTCAATCTGCTCTGCAAGTGGATGGGCCCCGGCTGGTTCATCCCCCTCACCACCCTCCTCTTCGGCATCGTCTCGCTCGGCACTGCCTTCGCCACCACGCTCGCGCAGCTCTCAGCGGTTCGCTTCCTCCTCGGCATCTTCGAGGCAGGCATGATGCCCGGCATCGCCTACTACCTCTCCCGATGGTACCGCCGCTCCGAGCTGGCCTTCCGCCTGGCCATGTACCTCGTCATGGCCCCCCTCGCGGGAGCCTTCGGCGGCCTCCTCGCCTCGGGGATCCTCAGCCTCGAGAAATTCGGCTCCCTGCACTCCTGGCGCATGATCTTCGCCATCGAGGGGATAATCACCATCGGCCTCGGGCTCCTGGGCCTCGCCTTCCTCACCGACCGCCCCGAGACCGCCCGCTGGCTGACCCCGGAGGAGAAGCGCCTCGCCGTCCTGCGCGTCAAGTCGGAGCGCGTCGGCACCACCACCGTCCTCGACAAGATAGACAAGCGCAAGCTCATCCTCGGCATCCGCTGCCCCGTCACCCTCAGCATCGCCGTCGCCTTCATGCTCAACAACATCACCGTCCAGGGGCTCGCCTTCTTCCTCCCCACCATCGTCGGCGGCATCTACCCGCAGGCCTCCACCGTCCGCAAGCAGCTCTACACCGTTCCCCCCTACATCGTGGGGGCCTTCTTCGTCCTCTTCCTGCCCCTCGTCAGCTGGAGGATCGACCGCCGCCAGATCCTCCTCATCGGCTCCGCGCCCCTCGTCATGGTCGGCTACTGCATGTTCCTCGGCTCCCAGGACCAGGCCGTCCGCTACGGCGCCACCTTCCTCATCACCAGCTCCCTCTTCGCCGTCGGGCCCCTCTCCAACGCCCAGGTCTCCGCAAACGTCGTCAGCGACACGGCCCGCAGCTCCGCCATCGGCACCAACGTCATGATGGGCAACATCGGCGGCCTCGTCAGCGGCTGGTCCTTCCTCCCCTGGGACGGGCCGGACTACCACATCGGCAACGGGCTGAACCTGGCTGCGGCGGGCACGGTGCTGATCGTGTGCTCCTTGACGCTGGTGTGGATGAATCGGGATAACAAGAGGCGCGAGCAGATTGACGTGGATGCTGAGCTGAGCGGGCTGACCGAGCAGCAGATCGAGGACTTGGACTGGAAGCACCCGGCCTTCAGGTGGCGACCATAGGTCGTTGAATAGCGTAGAAATGTAGACCCAGAGTGGTCGTTGAGGGTAGCAAAGGAGTGCTCACCCCGTCGTCTAGTTATTAGCAGAGCATAAGACTCAACTGGAATAAACAGGATGCGAGGTTGCCTCGCACATTGACTTGTACTATTTCTTTCCATTTCCCATGCTCGAGTGATATCTTGTGTAGGTTGCACAGACCTTGTTGAGAGCAGGTAGGCAACAGCCGCCTCTCGCAACTTCCCATCACCTCCTCAGCCCCAAGGGCACCAAAGAGGTCAGGATTACCCTCTCCACAGCTTCGCATGAAGCGATACTGCAGTGAGAGAAAAGTGATAACTTTCGTTACCGGGTTCACACAATTCACTCCGGCGTGAAGCGAAAGACAGCAAGCCGTCTCTCACATCAGACCAGAGACAATAGCCATGAGAGGATTGTTGCCTTGGAAGACAGACAAAACCTATGGGTGGGATTACCCAGCTCATCCAATTGGAAGAATAGGGTGCACCAAGTCAGTATCGACGACAAGCCGAGATATCCTAGAGATAAGCTGCATAGCATAGAAAATGAAAAGAGAACATGCGACAAAGAAAAAGGGGGAAAGTAAGCTTCAAATTTTATGTTAGTTAGTACCCGGACAGATGTGCCGAAGCCTTCGACAGCAACAAGGGGCACCGGCAGGCTTCGCCGGTCTGCAACTCCCGAATGGAAATTCATCGTAATATACACATCTTATTTGATCCTTTTTGCCACTCGTTCGTTCGTGTCGAGTCCGTCCAATCCTATATCGTGACCGTCCGCAACGCCGAAAAAGTCAAAGTGGTATCATCGTACATTATCGTCATGAAAATAGAGGAAAATCAACATGGGCAAGACGCATGAGGTCGACAAAGACAAGAGAAAGAGGTCGAGCTTAATCCGAGCAGGGGCCGATCGTCTTCTCGTGAACATGTCGGAGAAAGTCCCGTTGCCTTCGGAAGGATGAGTAGTTGCCCTCTAAAATCACATCAAGGATACCACCAGTGGCCCGGCCCTCGCCGATAGACCTTATTCTTTCATTGAGAAGTCCGTAGGCTTCGTCGAACCTAGATACGATAGACCGAGTGTTGGAGGAACCGCCCGAAATATCGTTGGACACATTGTTTGGGTCGATGATGGAAAAGCGTCCGTTATTTCTGTAGGTCAAGCTCGACACCTCCGACTGGATTGCGGCTTCGTTAGCCATGAGGAACATCAATAAGGCTAGGATCGAGTGGGACAACACGTTACCTTGCGGATATAGCCAATACGCCTGCCTGTGAGAGAAATTGCGTTTCTCTCGTACTCAAAGATACGACCATAGAGCTGGAAAAACTCCAGCAACATCTCTCCGAGGTGGTGTTCGGGCACTAAGTTCCGACTCTGGACTTGAGGCATGAGTTGCAACATACTGACGACGAGGCAGATGACGGAAAAGCCTCCGATGCCTCCGTTCACAGGCTCGTTGAGGCCTCGCATGAGGAGGAAATGCTTGATGACAGTAACAAGGATTGGCATGGCGGGATAAGTTGCCTTCCAGGCCAGGAAAGTGTCTACTGCCTCAACACCGCCGAGATTCTCGAAAGAAACATCTACCTTGAGGCCAGTGGCTTTATCAACAAACTTGACCAAGGGAATGCGAGCGTGGGCAATGACCTCGATCGCATCGTCATCTGCGACCTTCTGCGCAGTCAAGAGCTTCCTGAACTTGTAGAGCCAATTCTTTGCGCTCAAGTAAGTAGGTGGACCGCCGCGAGAGAAACTGGCCGAGCAAATAACAAGATCCATGTCAGCTGTTGGCAGGTAGAGTTCCGACATGAAAGAGCCGAAGGGATGAACAGTGGCACTAGCAAAGTTTCTACCATCGCGGCGCATAGCTCGTCTAAGGTTTTCGACTAGGTTTTCACGAATCTTCTGCTCAAACTTTCGTGGGCGGACGAAGTTGTAAAAATCCATCACTTCCTGGTGTAGACTATTGATAAGAATGTGTTAGCCAGGCAGTTTCTTGAAACAGCTAAGACCATGCAACATATGACTTGTTTCGGGATGGAAAACTCACCGGAAAGCTAGGCTAGTTGTGTTGGAGTGATCATCCGTGGCCCAAGGGCACGGTGGTTCACCCTTCACGATAGCCCAATCCTCA